TCCCAAGTCGCCGAAATTGAGTAGGAGTGTTTATTGGCATAGGGAAGAACTGCATGTTGTTCGTGGATACTTTGTATACGTGAAGCCTTTAATTAGATTCTAAAATTACCATCCTACTCGGGTCAAATTAACTGGTCGTCTTAAGCTTTCTTGCCGCTCCCGCAGAGAGTGTGCTTTGGGTGTAATATCAGCTTAGCTGATGGTTAACGTGCCACAGCCTGCTTGTCCGTTTAGTTACAGAAACCAGTGGATCGGAGGCCATATTGTGTCTGGAGCAATGAATCGGGCTATTGGCAGGCATGTTCCAACCAAATACATCCCCAAAAATGTTTTTACAAATGAAATTATGTAGGAAGTCCTGTACTCAAATTTAGTTTTCGTATTTTGAAGATTTACCTTGATTTGCAGTTTGACATTTCCTTTGGTGGTCTCCTTGGAGTAGTACAAGCAGCCACGCACACTCGACGTGCATGCACGCGGCTTAATAAGTGCAATAATCTTGAACGCGACGTTAAACCCAATTTCACATTTTCTTTGTCTTTAATAGGCGTTGTCCATTTTCCAGTTTCGTAAACGAATCTAATCAGTGTGACAATGGCATAAACATGTTCAGCTGTTAATCACATTGTCAACGTACCCAGACCTTGACGCGTGATGGCTTCACATTACATACCTAGGTGGACCCGTGAAGGTCCGGGGTAGAATAGGTCGTCAGCAACCCATGCTTTTAAGAGGCGACAAACGGGATCGGGTGGTCAGGCTCGCTGACTTGGTTGTTGCATGTCATCGTATCCCAATTGCTTAGATCGATGCTCATAATGTCCAGACTCGATAATGAACAGACCGCTGGCATATAGCTGGAATATTGCCGAGTGCGGCGTTAAACAAAAAAACCGAAACATACCGAGGTGACCCTGTAATAATGACGCTGCGTTATTTGTCTTCTAACATTGTTATGACCAATTCAAACAAAGGTAGGAAGCTCTTCTCGTAGTAGATGCCCGACCCGAGAAGATCCGGGGTAGGTGAGGTGAGGTGAAATTGGGTTTAACGTCGCGTCCAAGATTATTGCACTTATATAGCGACGTGTATGCACGTGTATGTGTGTGTGTGGCTGCTTGTACTAGTCCGGACTGATGCCGATTTATAGTGCTAGCTCACTGAGATACCATGCCGCAGTTTAACATGAATACCCCACTCAGACACAGTATACTGACTCCGAGCCGACCAGTCCTTGTTTTAGCCCCTTAATGCCGAGCGCCAGACAGGGTAACAACAAGTGCCATCTTTTAACGTCTTTTGGTATGACGCGGCCGGGGATCGAACCCCGGACCTTCCGCTCTCCGGAGGCGGTCTAGATCCGGGGTAGAATGTAGGTCTTCAGCAACCCATGCTTGGGATAAGAAGCGACTATGCTTGTCGTAAGAGGTGACTAACGGGATCGGGTGGTCAGGCTCGCTGACTTGGTTGTCGGCCATGTCTTTGTGTCCCAATTGTGTGGATCGATGCCAATGATGTCAATCACTGGATTGTCTGATCCAGACTCGATTATTTACAGACCGCTGTCATATAGCTGGAGTGAGTGGGCGAGTGAGTATGGTTTACGCCGCTTTTAGCAATATTCCAGCAATATCACGGCGGGGGACACCAGAAATTGGCTTCACACATTGTAACCATGTCGGGAATCGAACTCGCGTCCTCGGCGTAACGAGCGAACGCTTTAACCACTAGGCTACCCGGCCGCCCCCATATAGCTGGAATATTGCCGAGAGCGGTGTTAAACAACAAACAAACAAACAGTAGATGTCCATTTGGTGGTGGAACCCTGGACTCTGTACTGTGACAGTTCCATGGCGGCAGCTGCTATGGCAGTTACAGACACGAAGTGGTGCAATGACAGGGCTAATTGCATCCTCAACAACTGCAGCTGCGTCTGGGGTCTAGACGTTGTCGCACACGGCGGCCTCCGGATAACACCGCTGTGATCATGGCACTGTTATTATGGCCGATAATGAAGCGAGGTAAAAATATCCTCCCTGTGGCTTGTATCTTCCTAAGTGATCTCAAAGTTTAAAGCTTGTTTCTCCGTTGCACTATTCTTTATTGTTATTTAAGGGCCCGTTCAACAAAATAACCTTGGGACTAAGGTGATCGTCAGTTCTGAGATTTCAACCTAAGCCTTAGTTAAGGTTAGCATACTGTTCCACGCAACCTGGACTAAGGTTAACCTTAAGCAGGGTATGAAACTCCCAACATTTTCAGCCAGACCACAGGACTGGCTAGCTGAATTACTTGCCAGCCCTGGCCAAAACCTGCCTGCCCACTATAATCATATGTTTCTCAGGATAATTTAATTAAAACTTTAAATCGAATTCATTGAACATGAAGTAATGCAAGAAAAGAAATAGCAAACACTTTTTAGGTCAGATTTGTATTTAATATCCTAGAATACATCATGTAAATAATGCTTATCATCGGGAAATATTTAGAATATTTTTACATATGAAATATAACCCGACCGTCGGGCAGGGGGATTTGAAAATCTGGCAGCCCGAGTGGAAATTAACCCGTCTCGGACGGTCGGGCAGGCAGGTATTTCGAACACTGCCTTAAGTTACGATCAAAACCTAAGGTTGATATTATTGGTTGGTTGGTTGGTTGTTTAACGCCGATATCAGCAATATTCTACAGCAATATTCCAGCTATATGACGGCATATGATTAATGTCATGAGCATCGATCCACGCACTTGGGATACGATGACATGCATCAACCAAGTCAGCGAGCCTGACCACCCGATCCCGTTAGTCGCCTACTACGACAAGCGTAGTCGCCTGTTACGGCAAGCATGGGTTGCTGAAGATCTATTCTACCCCGGATCTTCACGGGTCGGTTGATATTATGTTGGTATTTATTCAATGTATCTTTATAATAAAGGGGTTTATGTTACATGTTAGTATTTATTTTCAAGAAATACGTAATTCTAATCATGGATAGGGCCGTCTCCGTGGTCTAGTGGTAGAGCGTCCGTCCAGAGAGCGGAAGGTCCGGGGTTTAATATCCGGCCGCGTCAAACCAAAAGACGTTACAAGATGGTACTTGTTGTTACCCTGTCTGGCGTTCGGCATTGAGGGGCTAACACAAGGACTAGTCGGTTCGGAGTCAGTATACTGTGTCTGAGTGTGGTATTCATGTTATCGCAGTGGGCTAGCACTATAAATCGGCATCAGGCCGGACTAGTGCACGCACGCACGCACGTACGTCGCTTTGTAAGTGCAATAATCTTGGACGCGACGTTTAACCCCATTTCACCTCACCTAATCATGGATAAAAGTTTCATGAGTATACTATTTGAATATTGAGTGGCCTGTCAAAGTTGATACTTTTACGACTTCCGGGATACCATGTCATACACATAAGTATGGAACATTAGTATTCATTAAAATCCATTTGTTTTAGGTAATTGGTCGTTTTTTATAGTATCGGCGCATATATATACGTTTTAACACATGAGTAGGTGAGTTTTAATTGTCACCAACAGATGGGGCCCAACGAAAGGGTGTCGGTATCACACAATGCCAACAAACGTGAGCAATAATCAGTCAAAATGAGAGTACTTGACCACAACTGAAACGTCAAAAAAATCACGAAAACATATTCATTGTCCAAAATAACCCAGCTCTCGGATAACAGAGTGGCACCGTCATCTCATGCCCCCTTAGTGTCTGTATGGTGGCCAAGGGAAGATTGTTCCACTCTTCAGTAAGAACATTGCCGAGTTCCTATAGATGCCGTTTGGACAGGGCATATCTCCTATCCAGAATTCCATGCGGTCAGCATAGTGAAAATTCGTCTCATCTTAAGAATCAGGATTCAAGATATTGCATGTTTTTCGTTTTAATTTTGACGAGTCCACACGTCTAGAAAACATGTCATAGACTGGTCAATTTTCATTGAGAAAATATGCTAAAATGTGAAAAACGTTCCATTTGCGTTTTTATCTCTTGTTTACATTAGTTATACGGCTCCAAGTGCTGTCATCGGAGCCCGACGGAGAGCTGGCGAAACAGTCACTTTAATGTATAAAGATATATTGTCATGCACCTCACTGAAGAAGTTGAAGTAAAACATCTATATCATTATGCTTAACATTGTCTGAAAGGGACCGTAAGGTTTGCATTAGGCCAGTCAATTTTAAACGACCCTGAAACAATGAGGTCGCGCTTGACCGTCCATGACGATGAAATTCGGTCTGACAGCAACAGCATACGTCTCGCGATCTCATGCAGAATACCATCCCTGTAGCACACACCTGTCACAGTGCCGCTGTAGGACACGGAGATCGGTTTTTCCAATGCTACTGATCCCACCACAAATCATGATTGAGCCACAGGCGTTCCGCAGGTCATTTCTGAGTGTGGTGGTAATCATGAAGTGATGACGTCTCCCGCTGTGTGGTGGAACGCTGGTGGACCGCTGGTGGACCACCTGCCCTGGGTAGCTGATCCAAACGTCAGTTATCGATTCCATACCCTGCTGATCACACTTTAGCCGATACCAAAGAGGTTTGCATCCTGACATTGTGTTGACCCAAGAAAGCTGCTTCTGCCTTCTGCCCTCAAAGGTACACTGCCCCACCCCAACCCCTAATAAATGTTGTAGGCAGTAAAATTTAAAGAGGATTTTGATATTTTGGACCTCTCTTATATCAATTCTGGATCCACCGATGGATGGTTGGTTGGTTGTTTAAAGCTGCACTCAGCACTATTCCAGCTATATGACAGCGGTCTGTAAATAATGGAGTCTGGACCAGACACCACCCATGGTGACCACCCAGTGTTGTTTTCTTACATGCATTACATTAACCTCCTCAATGACTGCACAGTCGTGAGCGGTCTTGCGAGACAGTTGACAAGCCTACATTGGCTAACCTTATCCGTGGGACCCTATAAGTGTCCACGGGCAATCGTGCAGAGGTCACTTTTCAAAACATAACTCAAGTCGCTGTTAATCATTTAGTTTATTTAACAAACAAGTCAACATCATTACTGGAGATTCTCACATTCATACAGTGATTGCACACATACACAATTATAGCTTACAGGCGCCTCTCTAGGCAAACAATCATCTCAACGCTCAGGGGTGGTCTCAAAAGTTACAGTAATACTTTTATAAGGAAATGATAATTGCTTATGGAGCATGTTTTTTTACTCTCTTGAAGCAAGATATTCAGTTTTTAGGAAAATGGGTCTGTTTTATTTTTTGTTATTTTGGCAATAAAAAAGTCAAACAATTGCGCGAGTTGAAAAAGTAACGATTCAAACTAAATGTACATGTGGTCTGTATACATCCTGAATCTTTTCTCCTCCAACAATATTCAAACTAATTTACATACATATATTTTCCAGGGAGGCAGAAAAGATTCCGGGACACTTGTGAGGCCAACCCTTACAATTTTCCATCAAAACATTCGCTCTGAGTCCAGAATGTAACGACTCATTTTGAAAATTCGGGTCACAACAAATTCTGGCCTTCGACTATTTTTTTTCAATTTGAAGCCAAAAAATATTCCTTTTTTGTCATTTTTATATCAGTGGTGTACTGTTTAGATACAGTAGCATAAACACATGATGGTTATATTTTACAGATAAGAACTTAATTTCTCTATTATACATTTCTTATTTACATCATACATAAGTCATAGGACCTAAATGAAAATAAGGCTGAATACCACAGTTGGACGTGGACAGATTTCAAAATGGCTTTCAGTCGGCCATCTTGGATTTAAGATCTGAAGCCTTGCTGTATAATACATATTGCTAATATGCCACATTATTTGGGGAGGGGGCTGTCAAAACAGCTTTAGATTGTTCTTCACAACCAAGATGTTGAATGTTAATGCATAGGATATATATAGTTGAGCTTGTACTGTTCAAAAGTTCAAAATAATTTTGATTTCTTCTATTCTAGTGCATCCATATATGCTACAGTACTGTACAAAGTGAAGTTATTGTGTGCTGGTCTAACACCAGATGTCTGTCACCTCAACCAATGATCTACAATGGAAATGTCCTTATCTTGATAATAAATTTCTGTTTCTTCCCATTATCTCACCATAACAAACATAATACATTACAAGAAGCCACAAGTCAATTAAATTCCCACATTCAGTAAACAATGCCCATACCTGGTGTGGCTTATCCATTCACAGCAGTCTGGCTAAAGGAGTGTGTGAGTTGCATTTATGGCTGCTTTGAACACTTTCAGTCCTATCACGAGAAAAAAGCAAGAAGTGATGCGGGGTATGTATTTTACCACTTTGTCGAAACCCAGGAGCATGTGCATTGTACTGACAGAGACATGACCAGTACATCCTGGTGCAGCCAAGGGATGCAACTCTGCACAATGCATTGTGACACCTTGGACCAGCCATATACCTTATGGACAGTAGCTTACACAGTAGCAGTGAAAGAAGCTATGACCGGATATTGATTTAATGGGCACAAACCTTGCACAACCTTCAGAACAGGCATTGTTTACTGTCAACATATCAAAATAGAAGCTATTATCCTTCATATACACAACTGATAACCACGACACCATGCCACATAATGGTAACATATTGTGTTGGAGAAATAACATTTTACAGACAAAACATTTGAATTTTTTGTGGGGGTTACAAGACTGAACCTCATCTTATCAGTATGAAGAGCGAGTGAGTGAGTATGGTTTTACACCGCTTTTAGCAATATTCCAGCAATATCTCGGCTGGGGACACCAGAAATGGACTTCACACATTGTACCCATGTCAGGAATCAAACCCGGGTTTTCGGCGTGACGAGCAAACACTTTAACCACCAGGCTACCTGACCGCCCCTATCAGTATGAAGAACTTGCACAGCAAGCTAACAGTAAAATGGCCAATTAGAAGACACCCCTGACATGGAAACTGTCAAAAGTATTATTACAGAAATGATTGTTTCATGGAGCAAAAATTTTAACTCTGCAAAATCTGAGCAAATCATTCAATCTTAGTGAATTGATTATGAAATACTCTTCTGTTTAAACATCCCACAATATCGTGCAAAAAACCCTTTGCAACACTTATTGGATGTTAGTTTTGACTAGTGTACAAACATGATCACAACCAAGTATTTGATGTGCCAGTTAAGGGTACTTAATTTTAAACAGCATTGTAGTCTCAACTCAGGGGTGAATTTGTCTCAAGGTCAACCCTGGCTTCTGTGGCCATTCGTGCAAGAAGGTAATGCCTTGAGCAGCTGGTTATGTCCGTGAAAACATAAACTTCACAATTTTAGAACCATTTGGGGTGAGTGAGTATGATTTTACACCGCTTTTAGCAATATTTCAGCAATATCACGGCGGGGGACACCAGAAATGGGCTTCACACATTGTACCAATAACAGAACATTTTGCGTAGCAATCAAGGACTCTGTTGTAATGTTAAGTAACATTTCTATACCAAGGGTAATGGGAAACTACGACCATGTTAAACTTGTGGTTGGCGTTACAGTACAAGTACATGAACGTTTTAGAGTAAGCCTGAACAGGACACGTTAATTCATAAATGTCGATTGGTTGCTTGTGAATATTTTCAGTATGGCAAATGACGTTATGTATCACACACAATGTAAAACATAGTCACAATGTTCTATAAAAATACACATTTAAATTGCAGTTGAAATTTTCACAAAAAAAGCTGAGACTCATGGTTTAACGTAACACGGAAATGGTGCAAGATTGCAATATTTTACTAATGTTCCACATTAATGATTAAGCATACAGATCACAAAATGACTTTTCTCATACGAAAAATAATAGATTTGAAGCTTACACATCAATACTTCATAAACCGATAAATATACATGTTGTCTCATATAGTTTTACAGTGTACAAGATGAGACTTTCTGATTATCAGAGATATATAATCTATACACCGAGACACCAATTTGCCTCGAGATTCACAAAATCAAATACTTGCAGTGTTAAGAATCCGATATTATCACAGGAACTAGAATTCTGACTATCCTCACTAAGCCTATGAACAAAGCGCTGAATAATAACACATTTCAGCATTACCAAGGAAGAAGAATTGATACAGCTATTCACTCGTCAGAAGCACCCACTAAAATGATACAGAACTATTTGAGCATGACCAACTACCATATTCACAATAATAAATACCCTGGGGCCCGTTCCACAAAGCGACATCAGCAATACGAAAGTCATATGTCTATGTCTGTTAATGTTTGAGGATTACAATCGTCTTAGCGCCACAATAGCTTTGTGAAAAGGGACCTGTCTGCTTCGAAAATTAACAAAACCATACACCGCTCGTAAAATAAGTAAACAAACTTGGTTAATAAATTGATTCAACTGAAACATTTTAGAAAATAGTTACAAGGCATTAATATACCCATTCAGCACTGATGTTTTCTGTGAAAAAAATGTATCTGTACTATACACATGAAAAAAAGGACTGACTGGTCATATGTATTCTGGTCATTTAGCTTATGAAGATTCCGTATAGATTTGCCTGGACATAGGCAGATCCAGGAGGTCCCCCCCTCTTTGAAAACCAAATGTAGTATGCTGTAGACAGTAAAATTATCTGAGAGGATTTTGATAATCTGGACCCATCAGTTTTAAAATTGTTGGATCCACCCTTGCTAGAAGTTGTCAGGGGGGCTTATTAGGGCGAATATGGTAAATGGATGTGATACAGTTTCTCTCACTGGTAAGTTATTGATGATCCAATGTGTTAGTACTGCTCTGCATATCCAAGAGCTACACAAACATCTTTATAAAAACATGGCATTACATCCTGCACGGTTTCTCCAACATGCAGGTTGATATTCCCAGCCTCGACTCCTGGCCGACTAAAAATGTGATGTGAAAATCCTATCAGCCGTTATTAGTACAGTGAAACCTGTCAAAACTGGACCACATGTATGGAGCTCAATTTCCATCTGCAATGAATAGTTTGTTTCAACCTCAACTCAACTTCACAATTTTATCGTGTTTCAATCTCAGTAATCCGACCTCTGTCTAAACCAGCCTAAACTTTCTGTCCCACGTATTCAGTTTAGACAGGTTCCACTGTATAAGGTGCAACTGGCTGGTTGTGTTTCAACCCACCAAAACATTCTTACAGTTGCTGTGAAAGTCACGTGGCACTATCTCCCATGCAGAATTACAAACAAAAACAGGTGTTTACCAGCACAAGAGAATACATGATGCCATATACTGTGTAAGTCGTTGTAATATTTGGATGTATAAAAGATACAGGTGATCCCATCTTCATAAAACCTTCATAATCTGGAAACCCTGCTACAGTGAAACCTCTTTAATCCGGACACCACTGTTCCAATTTTAATTCTATAATTTCCAAATCACTGAATGATTGTAACAATCATTCAGTGATTTGGAAATTATAGAATTAAAATTGGAACAGTGGTGTCCGGATTAAAGAGGTTTCACTGTATGAGGATTTAAACTTAAAAGCCCAATGACCTGTGTTTAGGGTGGTGTCACCAACACACTCACGTAGCCTGTACCACACATTTTTAGATGAGAATGAGGATCTACAAAATACAAATTTCTGCTTTTTAAAAAAGAAAGCAATGTCTTTTATACAAAACTTGTATTTAGAAGAGTGAGTGAGTATGGTTTTAAGCCACTTTTAGCAATATTCCAGCAATATCACGGCAGGGGGTACACCAGAAATGGGCTTCACACATTGTACCCATGTCGGGAATCAAACCTGGATCTTCAGCGTGACAAGCCGACGCTTTAACCATGAGGCTATCCCACCTCCCCTCGTATTTAGAAGACAATGATGTTCCACTTACATAGGGTAGTAAATTAATAGTTATTAGTAATTAAAACCCCTCACTAGAACAGAGATCCTTGACATCCATTTGTGCATGGAGTGAGTAAGTATGGCTTAACGCCGCTTTTAGCAATATTCCAGCAATATCACGGCAGGTCAGCAGAAATGGGCTTAACACATTGTACCCATGTTGGAAATGGAACCCGGGTCTTCGGGGTGACGAGCGAACGCTTTAACCACTAGGCTACCCGACCGCCCCTATTTGTATATGGGAATATTTTGAAATACATTAAGATATGCAGCTGTTCTGTATAATGTGGAGAAACATCAATGTAGAGTGCATACAAGGAGGACTAATGACTTAAGCAGCCACTGAATCAACATCAGGAAACCAAATGAAATAATATAGTTATGTTTTTAGTCATATGTAAACATGATTATGAGTGAGTGAGTGAGTATGGTTTTACGCCGCTTTTAGCAATATTCCAGCAATATCACGGCGGGGCACACCAGAAATGGGCTTTACACATTGTACCCATGTCGGGAATCGAACCCGGGTCTTCGGGTTGACGAGCGAACGCTTTAACCACTAGGCTACCCGACCGCCCCTATTTGTGTATGGAAGTATTTTGAAATACATTAAGATATGCAGCTGTTCTGTATAATGTGGAGAAACATCAATGTAGAGTGCATACAAGGAGGACTAATGACTTAAGCAGCCACTGAATCAACATCAGGAAACCAAATGAAATAATATAGTTATGTTTTTGGTCATATGTAAACATGATTATGGAGTGTTATATACATGGACAAGTGATTTCAACTAAAACTGTACATTTGACATATTCACAATATTCATCACAGATTTGTGTTAGTGTACATTTAGGTTTGTGTCACAACTCCAATACTTGCGCAAATGAAGCTTCTCCAGTACATGACTGCTGTGTTCTAATCACATGTCAGCATAATGTTTAACGATCATCAACTCCTGGCATGGCTAAGGGACACAACTCTTTAGCTTAGACAACTAGTGAACTCATGCCCTTTTTATATTAGGTGTGTATCTCATTTGCAAGGAACAAGGCAAATGTAAAAACTGTTTAGACTAGGGAATAACATTGATTTAATTTCGAAGAAACTATCTCTGATTAATGGCTCCTGTGAGTATAGCTGATTCAAGTGAGTGGGTGAGTATGGTTTAACGCTGCTTTTAGCAATATTCCAGCAATATTACGGCAGGGGGACACCACCAATGGGCTTCACACAATATACCCATGGGGATCCGAACCCGGGTCTTCAGCGTGAAGAGCGAACACTTTAACCACTAGACTAACCCACCGAACCTTATTATAGCTGATTCAAAGGGAAGAATAAAAACAACATACTAAGTCTTCATCAATTAGAACAAAATTATATCTACAACACTATGTGGACCTGGGCCCCGTTCCACAAAGCGATCTTAGCGCTACGATAATCATAAGTCTATGTTAAATTATGAGATTGCCTTAGCACTAAGATCGCTTTGTGGAAGGAGGCTCGGATGTTGTTTTTGGACAGTTTTAACCAAGTCACAAACATTATTGTATTGAAAAAGCTTCACTTGTGGAATGGAAGGTGAGACAGTGTTATCTGAGGGCACAACGGTCCCCATACAGTCCTGTATTGTGTGAGGGTCAGCATCCTGGGGGGATGAGATTGGGCAGGGATTCAGACCTTCTCAGCCTCTGAGATCCAGCACACCTCCGGGGCACCAGACATGTTGCCCTGCTGCAGGATTAGAACCCAGATCTATGCGAGACATGGACACACATGACCTACTGAGCTACGTGACAACCTTCATTTTCAAGGATGGACAAGTGCTTCTGATAAACAGATCAACATCTGGATCTGAAGTCTCTACTTGTGATAGAGTCTGGTGTCAGATGGCTTCAACTCACAGAAAGTGATCTTACACAAAGATTGTAACTTTCAACACGTACTTATGACAGCAAAAAGCAAATACCCAGAGAGCTGTCAACAAAGTACTGTCTCAGTGGTCCAATCTTAGCATGTCAACGGCAAAACTCCCTTACATTAACACAGACTTATGACAGGCGAAGTGCTAAGACCCAGAGAGCTGTCAAAAAAGTAATCTTAGTGGTATAACTATCATAGGTTTGTGTCAAAGGACTGGACGTACAATCTCTTAAAGTCAAAGATCATAAAACCTGGCTTCTATACTATAGCTTCCTGGGTCGTGTTCCACAAAGGAATCTTAATGTCAACCGTCACAACTTCCATACCGTAACACGGACGTTGCGAAACGCTAAGACCCAGGGCACAGTTCAACAAGCAATCTCAGTAGGAAAACAACCGTAAGTCTGTGTTAAAGTAGGGGAAGATTGATTGTCTTAGTACAAAGATGACATTGAACAAGCCGAGACTTGAGGCCTGACATTGGTGTAGCCGACTACCCTCACACAACACAGGCTGGAGGACCAGGGTCCAGCATGTATTTACATTACGTCTATATCTACTTATATACATCAGTTGTGTGTGAACATAGACAACAATATACAAGGGCCTCTCTGGGGAACTCTCCATGACAAAATATTTACACGCAATGGAACAATTTCTTTTACATCTCTCTTCTAACGAATCTTTGGGAGTCAAGCGATAATCCATGATAGTTCCTACCCTGTAAGTACAGACCCTGTTATTAAGGAAACCTCTCTTACAGGACGGTGACGGTGACAAAGCTACATATATACGGGCATCCACTGGGACAAAGTGATCTTAGCGCTAAGATTTGTAAATATGGCAGCTATGATATTCAGAGCGCTAAGATTACCTTGTGCAGCTTGGACAGGGAGCATTTAGAAAATACTATGTGTGTGACACACACATAGTATTTATCGATATTGTAAACCTATTGTTTTATTTAGAAAAAAACATGCGCACTCTTTAGAACCTCGTACTAACTCGGTTGTGAGGCGTCAACATCGAACGTTCTGTTGTTGCTATGGTGATTGTGATTTTGATAATTATTTCATTATAATTTTTTTTTAATTAAAATTTTAAAATCTTAATAATTCCCATGAATAGAGAAAATCAAAATCTTTGTTATGAATGTTAATTTTGTATTTCAATTTGCAAAAGAACTGTCACACTCTTTAACTCAGCGAGCTATCACAGTTGTGTAATTATGTATTCCTACACAGTGATTCGGTCGCTTGCTTCAGGGAATGCAAATCATATTTTCACCCTTTGACATTTGGTCATGTGACCCAAATTAGCCAATCACAACACAGAACACACTTTCTATAGGTTTACAATACTCAATTACAGCCTGGAAGAGCAGGGTCTTTCTATTCTGGCTCTCTGTTAAATCCGTCATCGTAACCTACATCCGTGACACGGTGACGTAGCAACCATCTTCACCTACATCAGTACATTGCAAGGGATATATTCAATCCTATGTTGTCGCTCGATAAACGAGTTCAGGATAGGAAGGGAAGAGTAGCCAGTACATTTCACAAGTATTTTGTGACTATATAATTCTGGGTTTTGTATAAGTGATGAAAATAGAATTGCCAATATTTCAGACTCTGCAGACGTCCTCAATGCCTCTGGCGTCTCCCAGCTTGTTTCTATGTAATACATGGGTAGTTGTCCTCCGACAATGGGCAGATACTACCCTATAATGCTGCTTATACCATATTCCAGTTACATCCCACCTGTTGACACAAAAGGTCCAGTGTATCGGCATAACGTTCCAATACTTTAACCTCGCACTACACTGGTTCTCTCACCTAGCCCAGTCGGTACAACTTCCTCTTATAATGTAGGCTTCTGATCTATAACTTATGGTCCTGTCAGAATTTGTGTCTTAGAACGAATATACCACTTTGCTGTTAGAGAGTGGTGTTAGAGAGAGTTACTGTAGTTATCGGAGAGTTCTTGTCGAGAGACCTGCTTTGACTCTAGGCACTGGCATCGGGCTGTGTGTGGTGTGTCGGCGGGTGTTTGCGTAGGCGGGTTCGGTCCCCTCTTATATGCTCAACACTCTGTTTTCTTGTATTACCTGCAAACACAATCTTGGTTTTATGTTTCAGCAAAGGCAGGGTAGAAGTGATGCAGGTCTCAAATGTTTACCACTTTGGTGAAACCCACAAGCATGTGTATGGTGCTGACAAACCTAGAAACATACTCCGCGTGAACTGGTTTTCAAACCCTAGCATGCTTAAAGAACACAACTCTCCACAGCAAATTATGGTGCCTTAGATGCCTGGGCGACTCATGCTCCCCAGCAGAGGGTAGACAGTGTGAAGAAGCAGTGACCATGATGCGTAAAACAACCTACTGCTCACTATCCTAATTCACCATATGATTCTAAAGTACTGCCCATGACTATCCAGGCTCACCATATGATTCAAAAGTACTGCCCACCATCCTAATTCACCATATGATTCTAAAGTACTGCACACTATCCAGACTCACCATATGATTCAAAAGTACTGCTATCCAGACTCACCATATGATCCTAAAGTACTGCACACTATCCAAATTCACCATATGATTCTAAAGTACTGCACACTATCCAGACTCACCATATGATTCTAAAGTACTGCACACTATCCAGACTCACCATATGATTCAAAAGTACTGCCCACTATCCTAATTCACCATATGATTCTTAAGTACTGCACACTATCCAGACTCACCATATGATTCTAAAGTACTGCCAACTATCCAGACTCACCATATGATTCTAAAGTACTGCCCATGGCTATCCAGACTCACCATATGATTCTAAAGTATTGCACACTATCCAGATTCACCATATGATTCTAAAGTACTGCCCATGGCTATCCAGACTCACCATATGATTCTAAAGTACTGCCCACTATCCAGACTCACCATATGATTCTAAAGTACTGCAAACTATCCAGATTCACCATATGATTCTAAAGTATTGCACACTATCCAGATTCACCATATGATATTAAAGTACTGCCCACTATCCAGACTCACCATATGATATTAAAGTACTGCCCATGGCTATCCCGGATTGACCACAAGGAGCGTACTCTTCAAAGCCTGTTGGCAGCTGGACGATGACGGTCAAGATGGCTGCCTTAGTGTTGTGAAGAGGCTCCAGGGCTACAGCTGCTGGCTTGCTCCCGCCCTGAACACAGCACATGGACACATTAACACATGGACACATTAACACATGGACACATAAACACATGGACACATTAACACATGGACACATTAACACATGGACAGATAAACACATGGACACATTAACACATGGACACATAAACACATGGACACATTAACACATGGACACATAAACACATGGACACATAAACACATGGACACATTAACACATGGACACATAAACACATAGACACATTAACATATGGACACATTAACACATGGACACATAAACACATGGACAGTGAGTGTGTGAGTTGGGTTTAACGCCACTTTTATCAGTATTCCAGTTATATAACCCACAATGATAGGTTCCTGGCGTGCCCAAGAGACGCAACTCTGCACAGCGAATAACGGAGCCTTAGACGACTGGGCCAACCATGCCCCAATTCACACATGAAGTTATCTCAAGGTATTATTGGTCAGGATGAAATCTATATATTAATCTATCTAGTTATTTCGTCTTTCTTTATCCAAAATTTGATATACTGTACATGTCTTCAATATGAGGTACCATATTTGACGTAATAAGTGCCCACGGCGATATTTGCTAACATATTGTCAAGTGAACAATCCCCATTAGCACCCCTTCCGATTGATCAATGTACAAAAGACTCTTTTATTCGTGTATAATATGCACACGTGTGTTATATACACCCTTATTATGGGCAATTAAATTCAGGAAAAATATATCTGTCGTATATAAACAGTTCAGGCCATCAGCATAAACCACGAAATTTATCTTTCAACTCTGTTTTTTTCCACCAAAATAATATTCTAATAAGAGCCTCCTATTTCTATTTTTGAGAGCGCCCTGGGCGCTTATTACGTCGAATACGGTACATCATAATTGACTTGACACTTCCTAATGTAATGACTAAAGTATTGATGTCAGCCTCATCAGAAATTGTCACCTGTTCATTACAAACATGACTTATTTAATCTGCATTCTTGAAAGGGTCACATATATTGTAATGTTCCCAACCCAATGCATGCTAGTTATCCAGCTGCCACAATACAACCACAGCACTTCTCACCCTCTTCCTCTTGCGTAGCTCCGTGACCTCTTTATGATCCTTCTTATCCGGATCCGTCTTGCGGTCGACGTCTACCGTTACCGTGGCGAACGGGCGGCTAGCCATCTGCTGCATCTCGACTATCATTTGCTGGAAACACGGAGCAGTGAGTGAATGAGTGAGTTTGTTAGGTTTGAAGCCATCTTGAACAGATGTGGATAACTTTATGCTCTGGTTGTTGATGCTTTTATATGTTGGTTTTAGACAGCATTATTAGCATAAAAATTGTAACAGATGTAGAATTATCACCTGTCGTCGTCTGTAGCTGTCGTACTTATGTTTGATCTTCCACAGCGCAGCAGCGATGAGCAGGAGAGACAGGAAGCAGCTAAAACACAGAACAATGTCAGACGACGTGAGTGAGTGTGAGTGAGTGAGTTGGATTTTATGCCGCTTTTAGCAATATCCCAGCAATATCACAGCGCGGGACACCAGAAATGGGCTTCACACATTGTACCCATGTCGGGAATCGAACCCGGGTCTTCGGCGTGACGAGCGAACGCTTTAACCACTGGGCTACCCGACCGCCCTCAGACGACGTGAAGTCGTGAATGTCGTGTTCGAGACACTTGCTCTTATGCAGCATTGTGCAACACGTGTGGGGCTACTTGTACGAGTCCAGACTTATGTTGTTTTTTAATAGTAAAAGCCCCGAGATACCATGTAGGACTGGGAGGGGTACCTCCGGTACTCAGATCGATGCTGAGAAGTACCCACAGGACTACCTGGACCCGTGTTTAGTCACATGATATATTGTTTAATGACAAAAATGATCTAGAACTCTATGGTTAAACTACAAGTCACTAATGTTCGCATTTCTTGCTTTTTACGCAACCATTCCTTCAGACTTTTAAATGTTTGAATTAAGGTAAAGGTACAGTCAACTTCAGGTATGCATGGCCAGATCGTCTTATAAGTGTCTCTAAATACATTTTGCCGATTGGACATTCTCTTGACCCCTAAGCGGGTACCCGGGTAGGGTCGAGTAACAGGGTGTTTGGTACCGGGGTAGTATATTTGGCCTCATCCCAGCCCTCATGCCATGCTACAGTCAACAAGCATGAAATACTCATATCCCCTGAGTATCCCCTGCCATTAAAAAATGTCAAGGCAAGAAATATTGTACGTTTTTCAAGATCTTTTCAAGTCAAAGTTGTTGCTAAGGAAGCTAGAAAAATAAAAGAAATTAAAAATCCCAAACTATTAAAAGGCACCAGTTTACCACTAGACCTATCTATGTGCCAAGTTTGGAGAAGAAATATTGTACGGTTTTCAAGATCTGCTCAGGAAAGGAGAACTACCGCCATTTTCAGTCTAAGTCAAAGTTGTTGCCATGGAAACTCGAAAATACATATTTTTTTATAAAAATCCCAAAATATCAAAAGGCACCAGTTCACACAAGACCTATCTATGTGCCAAGTTTGGTTAAGATATCTCTTATGGTTTTTCAGTTCTGCTCTGGAAACAAAACAAAATGAACAGCACCTATTCCTATATCCCCCTTCCACTTTTTGGCGGGGGATAAAAAAGGATACCACACTCAGACACAGTATACTGACCAGTCTTGTTCTGTGCCCCATTGCTGTTCACAGCAGTATGATATCATGCACACCCACTCCAACACTCCTGTCCCACTAGACACACTATCTAACAGAGTGACTACAGACACCCACTCCAGCACTCCTGTCCCACTAGACACACTATCTAACAGAGTGACTACAGGCAACAACTCCCAACACTCCTGTCCCACTAGACACACTATCTAACAGAGTGACTACAGACACCCACTCCAACACTCCTGTCCCACTAGACACACTATCTAACAGAGTGACTACAGACACCCACTCCAACACTCCTGTCCCACTAGACACACTATCTAACACAGTGACTACAGACACCCACTCCAACACTCCTGTCCCACTAGACACACTATCTAACAGAGTGACTACAGGCAACAACTCCCAACACTCCTGTCCCACTAGACACACTATCTAACAGAGTGACTACAGACACCCACTCCAACACTCCTGTCCCACTAGACACACTATCTAACAGAGTGACTACAGACACCCACTCCAACACTCCTGTCCCACTAGACACACTATCTAACAGAGTGACTACAGACACCCACTCCAACACTCCTGTCCCACTAGACACACTATCTAACAGAGTGACTACAGGCAACAACTCCCAACACTCCTGTCCCACTAGACACACTATCTAACAGAGTGACTACAGGCAACAACTCCCAACACTCCTGTCCCACTAGACACACTATCTAACAGAGTGACTACAGGCACCCACTCCAACACTCCTGTCCCACTAGACACACTATCTAACAGAGTGACTACAGACACCTACTCCAACACTCCTGTCCCACTAGACACACTATCTAACAGAGTGACTACAGACACCCACTCCAACACTCCTGTCCCACTAGACACACTATCTAACACAGTGACTACAGACACCCACTCCAACACTCCTGTCCCACTAGACACACTATCTAACAGAGTGACTACAGGCAACAACTCCCAACACTCCTGTCCCACTAGACACACTATCTAACAGAGTGACTACAGACACCCACTCCAACACTCCTGTCCCACTAGACACACTATCTAACAGAGTGACTACAGACACCCACTCCAACACTCCTGTCCCACTAGACACACTATCTAACAGAGTGACTACAGACACCCACTCCAACACTCCTGTCCCACTAGACACACTATCTAACAGAGTGACTACAGGCAACAACTCCCAACACTCCTGTCCCACTAGACACACTATCTAACAGAGTGACTACAGGCAACAACTCCCAACACTCCTGTCCCACTAGACACACTATCTAACAGAGTGACTACAGGCACCCACTCCAACACTCCTGTCCCACTAGACACACTATCTAACAGAGTGACTACAGACACCTACTCCAACACTCCTGTCCCACTAGACACACTATCTAACAGAGTGACTACAGACACCCACTCCAACACTCCTGTCCCACTAGACACACTATCTAACAGAGTGACTACAGACACCCACTCCAACACTCCTGTCCCACTAGACACACTATCTAACACAGTGACTACAGACACCCACTCCAACACTCCTGTCCCACTAGACACACTATCTAACAGAGTGACTACAGGCAACAACTCCCAACACTCCTGTCCCACTAGACACACTATCTAACAGAGTGACTACAGACACCCACTCCAACACTCCTGTCCCACTAGACACACTATCTAACAGAGTGACTACAGACACCCACTCCAACACTCCTGTCCCACTAGACACACTATCTAACAGAGTGACTACAGACACCCACTCCAACACTCCTGTCCCACTAGACACACTATCTAACAGAGTGACTACAGGCAACAACTCCCAACACTCCTGTCCCACTAGACACACTATCTAACAGAGTGACTACAGGCAACAACTCCCAACACTCCTGTCCCACTAGACACACTATCTAACAGAGTGACTACAGGCACCCACTCCAACACTCCTGTCCCACTAGACACACTATCTAACAGAGTGACTACAGACACCTACTCCAACACTCCTGTCCCACTAGACACACTATCTAACAGAGTGACTACAGCCACCCACTCCAACACTCCTGTCCCACTAGACACACTATCTAACACAGTGACTACAGACACCCACTCCAACACTCCTGTCCCACTAGACACACTATCTAACAGAGTGACTACAGGCAACAACTCCCAACACTCCTGTCCCACTAGACACACTATCTAACAGAGTGACTACAGACACCCACTCCAACACTCCTGTCCCACTAGACACACTATCTAACAGAGTGACTACAGACACCCACTCCAACACTCCTGTCCCACTAGACACACTATCTAACAGAGTGACTACAGACACCCACTCCAACACTCCTGTCCCACTAGACACACTATCTAACAGAGTGACTACAGGCAACAACTCCCAACACTCCTGTCCCACTAGACACACTATCTAACAGAGTGACTACAGGCAACAACTCCCAACACTCCTGTCCCACTAGACACACTATCTAACAGAGTGACTACAGGCACCCACTCCAACACTCCTGTCCCACTAGACACACTATCTAACAGAGTGACTACAGACACCTACTCCAACACTCCTGTCCCACTAGACACACTATCTAACAGAGTGACTACAGACACCCACTCCAACACTCCTGTCCCACTAGACACACTATCTAACACAGTGACTACAGACACCCACTCCAACACTCCTGTCCCACTAGACACACTATCTAACAGAGTGACTACAGGCAACAACTCCCAACACTCCTGTCCCACTAGACACACTATCTAACAGAGTGACTACAGACACCCACTCCAACACTCCTGTCCCACTAGACACACTATCTAACAGAGTGACTACAGGCAACAACTCCCAACACTCCTGTCCCACTAGACACACTATCTAACAGAGTGACTACAGGCAACAACTCCCAACACTCCTGTCCCACTAGACACACTATCTAACAGAGTGACTACAGACACCAACTCCCAGCTAGTGGATGTATGAGACGTACCTGAAGAATGTGACGAAGAAGTGGACCAGGTCGATCTTCGGGAATTGGGAGAAGGAGATCTGCAATAGGCAGGGGAGATAACTGATGATGCTGTACAATCAACATGAAAACACATCAAGACTACTCCTACAGTCACACACACGCCGAGTCTACAGTTCATGCGATGATAATTCAGCTACCATATCATTGGAAGTATAACTGTACTGCCTCCATATTTCATGCTTTTAGTCAATAGCCAGTAATAAATTTAGACAAAAAAGGATGATAATGGGTGTTTAAGTCTTATTTAGTCAGTAATTGGTAAAATGTTATATGGTAAATATTTATTCTGGTTTTGCTGATCCTTTAATGATTTTGTAATTCACCAAACAGCTTTAATAATAATAATAATAATAATAATAATAATAATAATAATATTAAAAATAAATAAATAAAAATTTAACAACTCAGAGTAAAAAACCTAGTTTACAAAATAATTAATATTTTATAATTGTCTGTCTTATTTCAACTTTTACAATTAACATCAGAATTTAAATTCATGCATAGTTGCAAGCATAGTAGTCATTTTACATAAAACATATACCGGTATGGTCATATTTAGACAGATATTACCCGACCTATAGTGCTTTTGAATTTATTTAAATCCAGTCTGTACAACACGCCAGAGTCCTGTCTATCTATCTACATGTGTATGAGTTGAGACAAGCTCACGACAAGCATGTGGGGGCAGTACCTGGAGCCAGAATGGCGTCTTGAAGTCGTAGACATACACCAGGAATGTTGTGTTTTCCTCGCCTGCGAATGGGTAATCCTTGTGTTCAAACTTGCTGCGGTAGTATGAGCACTCTCGCTGATACACAATGGTCCGTCCCTCGGGGATAGATTCTGCAGCAGGAAAAATGGAATATTCTTGGTGACTTTTTATCCTAATTAAACAGCTAGAATGGGCTACATATAAAACACTCATGTGTTCAGTACACATACATAGCGCCAGGCTGGGAAACAACTACCATCTTAGTCCATCGTTTTGTATGACACGGCTATAGATCACACAACCAATGTTCCGGTCTCCAGGTAAACGCTCTATCCACTACACCACAGAGACCTGTGAGTGGATGAGAGTTGTGTAAAGCTGCAGTCAGCTGTGTTCCATCTGTATCACAGTGGATGTCAGTAATGGAGTTCAGCAAACTAGTGACTGACAGCATGAACACCATGAATGATGACACTCACGACAAGCACTGGACTGGAGTCTGGTCTCATCGTAACCTTCAGGTGACAACCTTCAACACCTAAAGTGTTTTTTCTTTTCAGTTTGTTGTTTAATGCTGACTCAGCAATACTCCAGCTATATGACGGCAGTCTGTAAATAATCGAGTCTGGACCAGACAATCCAGTGATTGACATCCTGACAAGCATGGGTTGCTGAAGACCTATTCTACCCCGGATCTTCACGGGGTGACAAGCATGGGTTGCTGAAGACCTATTCCACCCCGGATCTTCACGGGGAGACAAGCATGGGTTGCTGAAGACCTATTCTACCCCAGATCTTCACGGGGAGACAAGCATGGGTTGCTGAAGACCTATTCTACCCCAGATCTTCACGGGGAGACAAGCATGGGTTGCTGAAGACCTATTCTACCCCGGTCTTCACGGGGAGACAAGCATGGGTTGCTGAAGACCTATTCTACCCCGGATCTTCACGGGGAGACAAGCATGGGTTCCTGAAGACCTATTCTAACCCGGATCTTCACGGGGAGACAAGCATGGGTTGCTGAAGACCTATTCTACCCCGGATCTTCACGGGGAGACAAGCATGGCTTGCTGAAGACTTATTCTACCCCGGATCTTCATGGGGAGACAAGCATGGGTTGCTGAAGACCTATTCTACCCCAGATCTTCACGGGGAGACAATCATTGGTTGCTGAAGACCTAATCCATCCCGGATATTCACGGGGAGACAAGCATGGGTTGCTGAAGACCTATTCTACCCCAGATCTTCACGGGGAGACAAGCATGGGTTGCTGAAGACCTATTCTACCCCAGATCTTCACGGGGAGACAAGCATGGGTTGCTGAAGACCTATTCTACCCCGGACTTCACGGGGAGACAAGCATGGGTTGCTGAAGACCTATTCTACCCCGGATCTTCACGGGGAGACAATCATGGGTTGCTGAAGACCTATTCTATCCCAGATCTTCACGGGGAGACAAGCATGGGTTGCTGAAGACCTATTCTACCCGGATCTTCAGGGGGAGACAAGAATGGGTTGCTGAAGACCTATTCTACCCCGGATCTTCACGGGGAGACAAGCATGGGTTGCTGAAGACCTATTCTACCCCGGTCTCCAGGGGTCACACTGACAATGAGGAACTTACTGGACTTGAAGGTGATGTTGAGCAGGGCATCCCCGGAACAGTTCAGTGTGAAGTCCACGTCCCTGTCGCTCTGCAATAAGAAAACACATGGTTCATACAAAACTTGAGCCACCAAACTTGAGACACTCTCCGTAACATTTATAACCAATATTTTCAACAAAACTTTCCCCTCAGTCACCCTCAGCCAGGACAAATGTCAACCATTAAGTTCATTCACAATAGTAGGGATTAGAGGTGACGTGAACTGCGTTTCAAAGTTTTGTTTCATTTGTTGTTTAATGTTGCACTCAGCAATATTCCAGCTATATGACGGCATTCTGTAAATAATCAAGTCTGGACAAACAAACAAAATTATGTTAACGCTGCTTTTGTTAAAAAACAAAAAATGTGTATTATATCTTATACTGTTTGCACCTTAATTGTATTTTGTCTGTACAAAACGGCCCGTGGCCTACAAATACTGAATAAAGTGAAGAAGATGAAGAAGAAGAGAAAAGCGTAATGACTCACAGCCTTGGGGATGTTCATGAAGTTGATGTGTGTGTAGTACTTGTCATCGGGCTTGGACAGGTTGAACGTGAACTGGTAGTCCGTCACAAGCTGGTCTGTAAGCAACGTTCAACAGTTTAGCATGTAGCATGGTACGCTTTACCATCGTGGTAGTTAATTTATAATGGATCGTAATGGTGAACGCTTACTAACCTATTAAATATGTCATGTGCAAAATGTTTCCTGTTCTTTGTTCCACTTTCATGACACATCAATTAGGACTGATCGATCCTGATTTTCTTTACCTGAGTTCGGTAAACAAAGTACCTGTCATATGACCAAGGACGGGTCAAGGACATTGTCCAAACAAATATGTTCTTTTCTAACCAATTTCGGATATTTCTGGTAGGGGTAATTCCACTTCAAAAACATTCCAGAAACTCATAAAAAAGTTTTTGTGTATACTTATAAGTAGCTGTGGGATACTGCAACGAGTCCTGTATTCAATCAAGCGATGAAATAGATTTGCTTAAGTAAACAATCAACAGGGGCTGTGAAATAAGATTTGGCAAGCATTATACATGTTTTTCCTAGTTTTTCTGTTTTTCTTAATGTTAAGTCTTGTCAGACTTGCCTAATAAAGATTTTGGCGACAAATTCTGAAACAACTTTAACAAAGCGCCCATACAAGCAGTTTGTTAGTACTTACAGTAGCAGGTTCCTGACTTGGGGTCGCCGTAGTACTTGTGGGTGTCGTCACAGCTGTCAACACACACAACGAGAGTCATGGACCCAGCAAATCCACATCTACCCCTTACGTGTTACAAGTTTTGTTAGTTTGTTGTTTAACGCAGCACTCAGCAAAATTCCAGCTATATGACTGTGGTCTGTAAATAATCAAGTCTGGACCAGACAATCCAGTGATTGACATCATTAGCATCTATCCACGCAATTGGAAGGGATGACATGCATCAACCAAGTCAGCGAGTCTGACCACCCGATCCTGTTAGTCGCCTCTAATGACAAGCAAAGATGCTTTTTATGGCAAGAATGGGTTGCTGAAGACCTATTCTACCCCGAATCTGCACGGGTGTGTACAGTACACGTAGTACCCCTTACATGTTAGAACTACACTGCATCTGACAGATGGCTTAACTTGTTTCCGTTAACATGGATAATGAAAAATAATACAAAATATTGAGCAAAACATTTCTCTTTCCAAGCAACTAACATTATGACAAATCTAACAAATCTGACAGACTTAAGGGGAGACAGTGTTCCACTGTCTGGTACCAAGTCCCATCCAGGTCAAGACGTATTGAATGTCATATACATGTAAAAAGTTTGCAAGTGATTCAATGGCATTTGATTGGTTAACCAAACAATTCTTTTCGCAAAAAACGTGAAAAAAAAAAAATCAAAACAAAACTTGTAAAAAAAAAAGTTTTAAAAAATGGCCACATCCACAAATGGACTACTGTTTCCTGATGGAACAAGCAGATGATGTAGATGATAGCTCGGACCGGTCACCCACCTGTCGCACTTCTCCCCGGTCACACCCTTCGTCCGACAGTAGCAGGCGCCGGTGTCAGGGGAGCAGCTGTCCGCCTGACCATTGCACTCACACGCTGCAGGGAGAGACGAATAGCATGTATGTAGCGAGGAAATACTATGTCGTGTATTGCGGTCAGTAATGCACTGTTAGCATCATGATAGCTTAAATGGATAGAATTATCATTAAACCGCCCGCATGTTATCAAAAATGAGCGGGACACTGTAACTTGATAATGCCCTCATATTGCTTGACGACATGCCATTATCACGGCCATTGTTGGGTGACGTCATAGAGATAGGGAAAGGTGAGGTCACGTTCACAAGAGACGTCATCTGGTTTGTTCTGTGACATTTCCATATTTGTGTAAAAGTGGGTCACTGAAATTCGTGTTGATTGCAGTAAACGTTTCAAAACCGATATTGTTGTTTATTTTTATTTGATAACAAATTCAATCCATTATACCTATAATAACAGTAATGCTATTTTTCAGGACATTATCATTTGCAGAAGCCCTCGGTCTTTTCAATGGGAGCTAATTTACTGAGTCGATCCTACATATTTAGAACAGTTCCATACATCTAAAACATTATTTCATTATTTTGTAACTCTTAAAATGATCACTAATTTTGGAAAAACCTAACAGTGATGAATAGATGAGTGAAAAAATATTGGTCACCCAGTGAAAAATGTAATAACCCAATTAAAATAGAAACCTCATAAAAACTCAATTGCTCAAAAAGTTATCTGGAGGTCTGCTATGGAATAACCAAGTCACTAGGGCTGCAACGAATACACCATAAGGCGAATATGATTCGTATAATGAATATAGGGTAACGAATAATAACAAGTCAGCAGTTGATGTATTATTTATGATATTCAGTGAAACAATAACAAAATGAATTATTTGACATGGTTTGTTAATTATTAATTTATTATACATTATATACTTCACTAATCCAGGTACTAGTGTCTGCTCAAATGCGACAATGACCAGTGACTAAAATACTGTCACTGAAGAAATCTAAGCATATAATAAGTTCTTACGGATATTTTAAGGGTCAGGGTATGTAAATGCACATGACTGCATATTCATGAATATTTGATTCTAGTGACCACGAATAACGAATTCAATTCATGAATGGATACGGTTTGATTCACCGAATACGCGAGTGAATCGTAACAGCCCTACAAGTCACTACATGGAATTCCAGATCATCCTAATTCCCCGTAGTTTGTAGGTGTTTCTAATGCATCCTGGGTACTGGGTTATATCCCTTTGTACGTGTACCAAGATTCCCAGCAGGAACTCTCCTCCTGGTGCAATTATAGAGTTTCTTGTATTTGTCCGAGATTTAAATAATGGTAATCAAGAACAAAGTTAATGATTTTTGGCCTCTGTAAAATCTTTCACACATACTTACGTTTACACTCGCCACCATTCTTGGGGCTCCCGAAGAAGCCATCCTGACATTTTTCACAGTGTGAGCCTGAAACGTGAAGTCAGTGAGTCAGTAGCCTGCATGTATGGTCTCCAGATGAACACATGGGAACACCTGCTTCTCAGTCCATGGTGACAGTGGGTGGGCATAGTGGTGGTTCTTTGGATATTGGGATGGGCTTTGGGATGGACATTTGGGTGGGTATTTGGGTGGTTGTTGGGGTGGATGTTGGGGTGGATGTTGGGGTGGATGTTGAGGTGGGCGTCTGGTGGACGTTGGGATGGACGTTGGGATGGGTGTTGGGATTGGACATTGGAGTGGCTGTTGGGGTGGGCATTGGGATGAATGTTGGGGGCTTCTCTCTTCTCAGCATGAAACCAGTAGCATAAAAATAAGATTTCACAATTCAATTTTGTGGTCCTTGAGTTCATTGGGGGATAATTGGGTGCTGCTTCATCTTGTGTCATTGTTGTTAGTAAGGTCGTGAGTGTTAGGTTTTATCACGTCCGGAGATAGGAAACCTGGGGTTTGAACATGACTAGCTAACGCCTTTACCACTACGCTACCCTACCTTCTGCATGATTGAGTCAACGTTTTGCTGATAAGTATATTATCACCTGTTTCTTCAAATAAAATGGTTTGCTAAAGTTAGATAGGAGAACTTCACATATCAACAGGGTTTAGTGAGTGAGTTGTGTTTAATGCCATTTTGCACACTACAGCAGTGCCATCATGGCAGCTTAAAGTCAGAGGCTCCAGCCACCTTGACATTCACCAGGGCCAGAAGAGAGGATGTGGCTTTTAAAATCCAACTCACCCATCTGGCCACAGGTCTCCCCATTGCAGTATATGAACCATCCTTCTTTACAAAATATACACAGTTCTCACACACAAGGACGCAACACTGCACAATGACCTTGTGGCATAAAGGAGACAAATGATACTAGACCCATGTTCTTACCTGTAGTCAGATTCTTGCACTCATCACAGGTGCTGCTTTCATTGAGGCAGGTACTATGGCCGTTACACTGGCATTCTGTAAGAAGAAGATATTCAAATTTATTATACACTTACATGTGAAAGACTGAGTTTTCAGAAGTTGAGAAAAGTGATATTTTCATTGCAGTGAACATAACACTTGATATTTCACTGCAGTGAACATAACACTTGATAATTCACTGCAGTGAACATAACACTTAGACAGAACTATTGTCCCCTTTAATTGTCTCCCTTTATCGTAAGTGTCTAGCCCCTACATAAAATGTTGACGTCCTTTTTACGCTAGTTCCACATTGACAAGGCAAAATAATGACAGATGGTCATTTATGGAGTTAATATCACTCCTTGCAGTTTGTTATTCTTTCGAAAATGTTTAGTTATAAACTGTAAATTTCTCATTTAACTCGTCAATCGCAAAGCGCCATTTATTTCTTTGACCAGCGTGTATTCTTTTGCTTCTAACAGCAGTCTCCTAGTTTTCAAGAATATTTTTGATATTTTGTTTATAATCATATCTATATGTATGATATAGAATTTTCGCCACTCGTGAAAATATCTCCTTTCCCCCCGTCACTCGATGAGAGAAACATGATATTTCACTCGACACACGAAATATCCTCGATACATTTCACTGCTACACATTTATCAGATCAACTACCCATCAGTGCCACTTTCAAACAGCTTCATCACATCTCCTTGGCCTTCTGTCCGCCCCACACTCCATCCAGATCTCTCTGTTCAGAATCACGTCAACTTCTCGTGCCTAAAGCTTAAGCGATCTTTTTCTAATGCAGCAGCCCAACATTGGAACAATCTTCCCCTTGAGCTTTGCGTCTCTCCAACCTACATTGCCTTCAGAACATCCTTCAAGACCCATCTCTTCTACGGAACCTTTGACTGAACTTTGCTTTTTCTCTGTGTGTTTTCAGCATGATATCCTGCATGGATAGCATCTTACAAATGGACAAGTATTACAGTCCTTTTGGTTGGATGTGTTTAATGCTGCACACAGCTGTTTCATAGACATTTCTTAGAAGTTACTACGTAGATACTATTTTTTGTATTGACATTTCAGTATAGATCCTTATACCATTGTCAAGCAAGACTGATATTTCAGCTATATGACAGTGGCCTGTAAATAATCAAGTCTGGAATCAACCCCAGGGCCTACTTGCACGAAGCAATCTTAGTGCTAAGATGATCGTAACTCCCATACTTTAACATAGGCTTACAATAGTCGTAGCGCTAAGATGATCTTAACTCCCATACTTCAACATAGGCTTACAATAGTCGTAGCGCTAAGATGATCTTAACTCCCATACTTCAACATAGGCTTACAATAGTCATAGCGCTAAGATGATCGTAACTCCCATACTTTAACATAGGCTTACAATAGTCATAGCGCTAAGATGATCGTAACTCCCATACTTTAACATAGGCTTACAATAGTCTTAGCGCTAAGATGATCTTAACTCCCATACTTTAACATAGGCTTACAATAGTCGTAGCGCTAAGATGATCGTAACTCCCATACTTTAACATAGGCTTACAATAGTCGTAGCGCTAAGATGATCTTAACTCCCATACTTTAACATAGGCTTACAATAGTCATAGCTCTAAGATGATCGTAACTCCCATACCTTAACATAGGCTTACAATAGTCGTAGCGCTAAGATGATCTTAACTCCCATACTTTAACATAGGCTTACAATAGTCATAGCGCTAAGATGATCGTAACTCCCATACTTTAACATAGGCTTACAATAGTCGTAGCGCTAAGATGATCTTAACTCCCATACTTTAACATAGGCTTACAATAGTCATAGCGCTAAGATGATCTTAACTCCCATACTTTAACATAGGCTTACAATAGTCGTAGCGCTAAGATGATCTTAACTCCCATACTTTAACATAGGCTTACAATAGTCATAGCTCTAAGATGATCGTAACTCCCATACTTTAACATAGGCTTACAATAGTCGTAGCGCTAAGATGATCTTAACTCCCATACTTTAACATAGGCTTACAATAGTCATAGCGCTAAGATGATCGTAACTCCCATACTTTAACATAGGCTTACAATAGTCGTAGCGCTAAGATGATCTTAACTCCCATACTTTAACATAGGCTTACAATAGTCATAGCGCTAAGATGATCTTAACTCCCATACTTTTACAATAGTCGTAGCGCTAAGATGATCTTAACTCCCATACTTTAACATAGGCTTACAATAGTCATAGCGCTAAGATGATCGTAACTCCCATACTTTAACATAGGCTTACAATAGTCGTAGCGCTAAGATGATCTTAACTCCCATACTTTAACATAGGCTTACAATAGTCTTAGCGCTAAGATCGCTTTGTGCAAGTGGGCCCTGGTCTTGTGTGTGACAAGCAAACTCTTTAACCACTAGTCTACCCCACCTCAACCACTTTTCAAACAAACATTCTTAAAGGGACAGTCAAACATACTTACTTGGACAGTCAGTGAAGAACCACTGCTCCCTGGGGCACTGGCCGAGATCTATAGTGTGGTCAGTGGCATTGGTGACTGGTCCCTGGCGTCCGCCCTCCATACACCTGCCACGCCCGGTGTTGCTGGGGTCGTTGCACCAGCCGCACATGGGGTGGGCCTGGCATTCCTCACACGAGTTGAGACCTTTACATGTGGTGGCTGCAGACAGAAGAAGTGTCAGAAAGACATCACTAAAAACTTCATTTCATTTGTTATTTGTATAACCAGTGATTTGTTATTACCACTCAGCAATTTTTCCCCCGTATGATGGAGTGAGTGAGTGAGTGAGTGAGTGAGTTTTGGCTTTACACCGTTTTTAGCATTATTCCAGCAATATCACGGCAGGGGACACCAGAAATGGGCTTCACACATTGTACCAATGTCGGGAATCAAACCCGGGTCTTCGGCATGACAAGCGAACGCTTTAACACCCCCCTGAATGATGGAGGCCTGTAATAATATAATGTGGACCTGACAATCCAGTGATTGATATTGAGAGCAACTCTCCTTGCTGCATGAGCTTGATGATGTTCCATGAACCAAGTCACCGGACCATAAGATCAACTATGTGACCTCTGATGTTCAACATAAAATGCTGGGGACCTGTTCTAACTTCACGGGTGACATCTTTGATCAGCAATGATTGTTTGTTTTTTCGTTTGTTGTTTAACACTGCACTAAGCAATATTCCAGCTATATGACTGCAGTCTGTAAATAATCGAGTCTGGGCCAGACAATCTGGTGATTGATATCATCAGCATCAATCTACGCAATTGGTGTACTATGACATGCATCAACCAAATCGGCAAGCCTGACCACCCAATCCTGTTAGTCACTTCTTAAGACAAGCATAGTCACCTTGTACGGTAGGCATGGATTACTGAAGACCTATTCTACCACAGATGTTCAACTTGCCTTGTTTCTTTCTTACACTTGAAAGTTTGGACTTATGACCCAATATATAATTTTGGTCAAAATGAATGGAAAACCAACACAAGTTTCTGGCACATCTAAGGGAGGCAACTATGCACAGAGAATTGCAGAAGCTTATAAATGATCATCCTTTTCTGTCACTCAAAATTATCGAGACTGCTGTCGAGGTGAGTGGATAAAACATCTGCCCGGAGAGCGGGAGCTCGGGGACCCTTGCTGCATCATACCAAAAGATGTCAAAAGAAGGTACTTGTTGTTACCCTGCCTGGCAGTTATCCTTAAAATGATAAATCAAGGACTGGGTGGCCTAGAGTCAATGCAAATGTTAAACATCATTTCATCTCACATAACCTCAGAATTATTGGAGGGGGCATGGGTGGCCCAGTTGTCTAAGGCGCTGCCATTCGCTGTGTCGAGTTCCATCCATTGAGCGTGCCAGACACCTATGATTGTTGGTTTCGAATCCTGGTTTGCCCCGATTATGTTTCTAGGTTTGTCAGCACCATACCTGTGCCTGTGGGTTTCACCAGAGTGGTAAACGTCTGAGACCTGCATCACTTCAGGCTTTCCTCCCACATTCAGCTGACACGCCGTGATATAACTGGAATACTGTTAAAAGCAGTGTTAAACCCAACTAACTCACTCACTCAGAATTATTGGAGCTGCTTCAAAATTCACCACAAGCACGGGTGTGGTGTTGACAAACCTACAAACATAATCAGGACAAACGGTGATTCGAATTCAGCTTCTGGCATCAAGGTCCGAGTTATCAACGGTATACAGTTTACTGACCTGGACACTTGTCCTTGGTTGTCCACTCGGTGCACTGGCCATAGGGGAATGAGGCGACGTACGAGTAGGTCTCCACGCACTGCTGCATATTGCTGCACCACATACAGTTGTTCTTGGTGCAGTTGCTGCACGCCTTGCGCTCTGAACACGGGATGGGGCACTGGGGACTGTTAATCTTGGCGCCAATTTCTTCTGTAGGAAGACAAAAATAAAAGGGATTATGAAGGATGCTATTTTCGAATACAGAAACATATCCCGCTAAAAAATCAAATATTTGGTTTACATTAATTTCAATAAGAGTTAAATGATCCTGCAGAACAGAGTTTCATTTCCGCATAAAGATAAAAAAAACAAACAGTGTCATGACCGTGTTGTGCCTTGTAGCAACAGAACAGCGGACTTCTCGAACATGGAACTACTTACGGTTATTATTATGATCATTATCATTCACACAACGTTTCTACTTTACATACAGGCTTTTGAGGTTTTTGCGATAGTCATATTTCAAATTTAATTCAGGCCAGACCAAATTCTTTGTTTTCAAGAAAATTAATTTTGAAATTTTAAAATGCAAGAGGAAACAAAGGGAATTTGTTCAAGTGCTCAAGGATTACAATCTAGAATTCTTAAATTATGCAGATCATCTTGCCAAGAGAAGACAACTGGTAAACAGATTCAAATGAGCAGGGAAGTCTTGATAGAGACAGTCTTCATCACAGGTTTCCTTATCAGGAGTTCCTATCTCAGAAAGTCGGTCTGACTTTCGGTTTTTTAAAAAGTTTATCAGCTTATCAAATGTAGAATTTTCTCAAAATGTCTCATTTCGCCTCAAAGACTTGTATACTATCAAGCATTTTGACCAATGTAGGACCTGATTCAGCTTCTTACTATCCAGTCAAATATTTGAATCAACTGTCAGTGTTAAGTGAAAATACAGACAACCATCTGGCATCACATTTCAATCTAACTCAAATTATAATGTGGAGAACTTGGCTAGCGAGCCCGATGCCGTGCGAATAAGTGTATAATGCTCACTCTGAACAAGGGGAGTAACTCTCATAAAATAACAGGACAAAGGGAAGTAACTCTACCTATCATCATATATATTTTGTCATTACAAAATACAACTAAATGTGGCCAATCACTGCAGGAAATGTTTAGGGAAAATCGTTCCCATAGCAAATCTTGCAACGATCCATTTCTAACACATGGAGTAGGATCTATTCTGATGCTTGGGGTGCCCAAACATGGCGACTCTGATATTCAATAACATGCCTAAATTTCGTTTCCGTGGCACCTAACCTTAGTCCTGTTCACGGACCGCCTCCATGGTCTAATGGTAGAGCGTCCGCCCAGAGAGCGGAAGGTCAGGGTTCGATCCTCGGCCGCGTCATACCAAAAGATGTTAAAAGATGGTACTTGTTACCCTGTCTGGCGCTCGGCATTAAGGGGCTTAAACAAGGACTGGTCGGCTCGGAGTCAGTATACTGTGTCTGAGTGGGGTATTCTTGTTAAACTGCGGCATGGTATCTCAGTGGGCTAGCACTATAAATCGGCATCAGTCCGGACTAGAACAAGCAGCCACACACACACACAAGTCGCTATTTAAGTGCAATAATCTCACCTCACCTAGTCCTGTTCACAATCATACATTGAAAACAGTTGTAGTGCTGGGATCACTTTGTGGAAAGAAGCACAGGGAAGGACTTGTCACATTCTGTTTATCGTGAGATTGTATGTGAACTACAAACCTGCAAGCTGTCGAGCGTTCTTCACGTTACACGCTTGATTTTCCCACGTACATGCCGTGTTTTCTATGCATGCATTACATGTGCTGAGACGTTCACAATCGTAGTTCTTGGAATTGCTGCAAGTCTGATTGGTCTAAAACAAAGGAAAACACGAAATGAAATAAAACAAAATACATAATACATACTGGTACAATCCTCAACTTGTGCAACAATGTGTGAGAAGTGTGTATGTGTGTGAGAAAAGTGGGTATGTGTGTGCATGTGTTGGTTGGTTGGTTTGTTGTTTAACGCCGCACTCAGCAATAATCCATCTATATGACGGCGGTCCTTAAATAATCGTGTCTGGACCAGACAATCCAGTGATTCAGAATCCATACAACGGCTCGCTCTTACAAGGCCACGATTTTGAATGCAAATCTCTCATTATATTAGCATCAAGCTAGCATTTTGATTTATTACATACAGCATCAGTATAGAAATGTCATATAAAACGAACATAATTCTGAAATGAACTAACACTGAATCTGTACAACACTGTATCATTAGCTCCCTACTCTAATAAGCTTCCCATTCAGGTCCCCAAGACATTAATCTTCCTTTATAAAGATAGCTGTATGAAATGTCTAAACTGTTGAAATCACTGTCAGCATGATTACATTAAACAGTTTTGCTGAAGTGAGTATATTTTCATAATTTCAACAGAAGGTTTTTGCAAGTCACATATATATAAGTTGTGTTAAGTCAAGTATTATATGACATCATTTCTTTCTGAGATACAGTAAACTACGATTTTAACGAACTCAAATGGACCACTAATTTTAGTTTGTCATAACCGTAGTTTGTTATAAGCATATATACAACATCTATACAGCAATTGGCCGGGACCAAACATAAAGTTTGTAATATCCGTCAGTTCCTTATAAGCATGTTCGTTATAAACGTATTTTACTGTTGTACTTTCTTTTGAAGAATAAAAGATGTTTGCACAGGCCAGAGATAATAAATGTCACCTTACAATGCATTTGATCAAGTATCACCTTAAAACTTCATATTGTTAGGTTTTTGTAGTTCTATCATTTAACCCAATGAAAGATAGAGCAATTGGGCAAAGCAAGTAAAAACCACTTTATTTTATTCTATGGTGGGTGCTTTTGGCTTCAATTAGTCAAGTTCATTAAACTGAAAATTTCACCAGTGGAGATACTGCCATATAAAAGACAGCAGAGAGACGAAAAACTGAGAGATTCAGAAGTTGCCGCTGATAATTTCCTTTGACTTTACTCTGTGCTGCACTCACCTTGTCACATGCCTTGGTACACTTGAAATCACACCACGAACAGTTGTTGGCCGTGTCGAGACAGCTTGGGCACGACGTGAAGACCTCGCAGTCCATAGTCACAGCTGAAACACAGACATGATGACATTAGCACCTGGGGGATCTATGATATGAAGACCTCACAGTCCACAGATCTATGACATGAAGACCGCGCAGTCCACAGATTTATGACATGAAGACTGCACAGTCCACAGATCTATGACATGAAGACCTCACAGTCCACAGATCTATGACATGAAGACTGCACAGTCCACAGATCTATGACATGAAGACTGCACAGTCCACAGATCTATGACATGAAGACCCCGCAGTCCACAGATCTATGACATGAAGACTGCACAGTCCACAGATCTATGACATGAAGACCGCGCAGTCCACAGATCTATGACATGAAGACCCCACAGTCCACAGATCTATGACATGAAGACCCCGCAGTCCACAGATCTATGACATGAAGACCCCGCAGTCCACAGATCTATGACATGAAGACTGCACAGTCCACAGATCTATGACATAAAGACTGCACAGTTCACAGATCTATGACATGAAGACTGCACAGTCCACAGATCTATGACATGAAGACCGCGCAGTCCACAGATCTATGACATGAAGACCTCACAGTTCACTGATCTAAGATATGGGGATCTAGGATGTCAAGATGTCACAATCTACATATACATTTAAAATGTTGGCACTAGGAGGATTTTGATACATGAAGGTCTCACAGACATCTTCTAGACAGCTGCAAAACATCTCCTTTCACAAATTCATTAATCTACTTCAAACTCAATTCCACAAGCATCTTGCCATCTGAAGACATTAAGCATGTTAAACATTGACATTTCAGATTGTCCTCTAGCTAGTCAGACCATCCTGACTTCACACTGGCCCGGAGTAAGCTTCACTGGTATTTGTCCAGTGGGTCAGTGTATAAGTCATTCCCAGAACAACTCAGTGAGTGAGTATGGTTTTACACCGCTTTTAGCAATATTCCAGCAATATCACGGCGGGGGACACCAGAAATGGGCGTCACACATTGTACCCATGTCGGGAATCAAACCCGGGTCTTCGGCGTGACGAGCGAACGCTTTAACCACTAGGCTCCCCGACTGCCCCAATAACTCAGTGAACCAGGATGCTCCTAAATCTGAGACCAAAATCCCTTGCTACTGTCTCACTCACTCACTCACATTTCTAGGATTGTTTTAAAACGCAGGAAACTATACAAAAATAGGTGATTAATGGTAGCAATAAATTTTAAATATCTCAAAATCAGATATAACAAAAAATCGTATTAACACAGAAGCCGTGAAAAATACATTAAATATGTGATTAATAAAAAAATATCAGAACAGCATATTATTTATTGTTATTTAAAATATTATGACAACATGTCAACATTTATACGTTTTTGCAGCATATCATTATTACATCAACAATAATGGTTTATTTCATTGTATCCCATTCAGTAACTGAATTTGGTCGTACATGAGTGAGTGAGTATGGTTTTACACCGCTTTTAGCAATATTCCAGCAATATCACGGCGGGGGACACCTTAAATGGGCTTCACACATTGTACCCATGTTGGGAATCGAACCAGGGTCTTCGGCGTGACGAGCGAACGCTTTAACCACTGAGCTACCCGACTGCCCCTGGTCGTACATGACCAGGCAACACAATTACCAGAGTGGATGAATATGCGGCCATGACGTACCTTGTGAAGTATTACAGCTGGTGGGGCTCTTTTGCACACAGACCCCGCCCTCCCACGAACATCGCACGCCAGACATCACACTGTTACAGCTGATATTGTCGGTGAAGGCATCACACACACCTGAAATAGACACAGTCAACACACATCAATTTTGTTAAAATATTTGTCTGGTTTGGTTTTTTTGTTTAACGCCACACTCAGCAGTATTCCAGCTATATGACAGAGGTAAATAATCAAGTCTGGACTAGATAATCTAATAATTGATGTTACGAACAACAATCCACGCAATGGAGTGAGTGAGTGAGTATGGATTTACGCTGCTTTTAGCATTATTCCAGCAATGTCACGGCGGGGTACACCAGAAATGGGCTTCACACATTGTACCCATGTTGGGAATCGAACCCGGGTCTTCGGTGTGAAGAGCCACTAGGCTACCCGACTGCCCTCCACGCAATGGAGGCAGGGTGACACACTATGAACCATCACCGAGCCCGACATGCCGATCCATTTGTACAATCCAGTGATTGACGTTGTGAACAATGATCCATATAACTGAGGCATGATGACCCAATCAATCAAGTCACTGAGCCTGACCATCCGATCCATTGGGTCGCCTCTTTTGACCAGCATAGGTTGCTGTGGACCTATTCTAACTCATTATAATAATTTTTTTATCAGAAACATATTTCAAATCCTTATGTGGCACACTGTTGGTAATCTATAGCAATTGTTGATCGCTGCATCTCGTCCAGAACTGTTTATTGGTTTTCGTATTCATTAATAACCATTTACATTTACCTATTCTATCCCGGATCTTGACAGGTCCTGATAACTATGTAACTGAACATGTAGGAACATGGCACATTTTCATGACAAATTAAAAGTACCACTTATTTATCATTGTTCACAAGCATGTAACTTTTCCCAAAATGGTGATGTCAGTCTGACTGTGGATTATATGATTTTTCTAAGTGTACACAAACAGTTAACACGAATGAGTCTCCATGGACAATACATCAGGATACACCCCTGAAGGTTCCACACAGAAAGTTTGTACCTGGTTCGAACTTGATGAGGTCGTTCCTCATCACACCGCTGAAGCCCCCGAACATGTATACGGAACTGAAACAAAGTCACATAGTGTTCACAAGCTGTACATCCCTTCTATCATGTCTATTAATAAATAAACATTAAATAATTGAATAAAATATATTAAAATTGGATTCTGTAATAATTATGTATATTTCCATTTACTTAAAGATGGTAACCCTGGTAACCATGGTAACAGTATTGATATTAATGATGGAATATGTGTTGTATTCTTTTTGTTTAATACTGCAGTCAGCAGAATTCCAGCTATGTCAGGGCAGCTTGTAAATAATCAAGGTGAGGTGAAATTGGGTTTAACGTCGCGTCAAAGATTATTGCACTTATATAGCGACGTGCATATACGTGTGTGTTTGTGTGGCTGCTTGTACTAGTCCGGACTGATGCCGATTTATAGTGCTAGCTCACTGCGATTACATGCTGCAGTTTAACATGAATACCCCACTCAGACACAGTATACTGACTCCGAGCCAGACAGGGTAACAACAAGTACCATCTTTGAACGTCTTTTGGTATGACATGGTCGGGGATCGAACCCTGGACCTTCCACTCTCTGGGCGGACGCTCTACCACTAGACCACGGAGGCGGTCTTAAATAATCAAGGATCTGGTAAACCAATGGTTGATATTATGAGTAATATCCCATGCTGTCAGGGTACAAAGACAGCAAACAGAGAACCTGACCTCTCCATCCATTACCTGCCTCCTACAAGCATTGGTTGCTGGGGACTTATTCTAAACATGAATCTCCGTAAGATGACAGGAGGACTGAGTTGGGAACAACATTTCTCTGGAGAATATTTGAGTTAATTCTCGGCAATCTTATGCTAAGAAAGGTTGTAAACCTGTAGAGAGTGGGAAGCGAGACTCACCCATCCTTGACCACCATACTCTGACCGTATCTACTGATCTCATCCTTCAGCCTCGGCTCAGGCAAGTGGTGCCATGTGTTGCATGCTGGAACACAATGTAACACAACATACTTTAACACAATGCCACATTACGGAAGTCAAGCACTTCACAGAAATCAGCTACAAAACACCAATCAGTAGGGCTTGGACGATACACCAACTGTGCGGTCCGAAATGTATAAGGATACCTTGTTCAAAATCCGATACATATCACGATACTTGTATGTGCTCTTCTCTGTGGTGTGTAAGCAACCTTTTTCATAGACAGGATGGCCAAATACCTTGCACACTGACGATTTACAGTTGGCAGTGTCAAATATGGCACAATGGATGAAAATATTTACGTTTTCACTACTAAAAGCTCGTAATTAGTGTTTGGTGTGACAGTTATTAAAGAAAACATACAAAGTAAGAATCGATATTTTTCACTATGTGTGCAACTGTGATCGAAACTTGTATTGATCCATTGAAGGAGAAGTGTATGGTCCCACTACTACCAGTGTGTTGGTTTAAACTGAAATCTATTTTAATCGATCCGGTGACAAAAATTCCCAATTAATTCCTACAACATCGCAACTTGTAAAGGCAGAAATGAGAGAGCAACTCCTTGAATCAGTGTTTTTTGTGAGCCTTATCATGCCTACATCTGCTGACTCCACAGAGGGAAGATACTTACTGATGTCATAGGCCATGAAGTCGGAGGAGTAGCACTTGGCGCCGTAGCTGACAGACGTGTCGTTGTGGGTGTTGCCCCCGAATACCAACATCAGCCCATTCATGATGACAGCCGAATGTAGATAGCGCGGTGACCCACTGTTCTTCAGGATCATCCTGGAACACAACATCAGTGTATGGAGACCGATCTGTATGTCATTGTCACCGTCAAACAACACCAGTGTGTGGAGACCGATCTGTATGTCAATGTAACTGTCATACAACACCAGTGTATGGAGACCGATCTGTGCGTCATGGTAACTGTCAAACAACACCAGTGTGTGGAGACTGATCTGTACGTCATTGTAACCGTCACACAGCACAAGTGTGTGGAGACCGATCTGTACGTCATTGTAACCGTCATACAACACCAGTGTGTGGAGACCGATCTGTACGTCATTGTAACCGTCACACAGCACAAGTGTGTGGAGACTGATCTGTACGTCATTGTAACCGTCACACAGCACCAGTGTATGGAGACCGATCTGTATGTCATTGTCAACGTCACACAGCACAAGTGTATGTAGACCGATCTGAATGTCATTGTAACCGTCAAACAACACCAGTGTAAGGAGACCGATCTGTACGTCATTGTAAACGTCACACAACATCAGTGTATGGAGACCGACAGGATGGATAGAAGGATAGAGTGAATGGTTGGGTAGATGGGTAGATTGATGGATTGAAGAAAGGACGGATGGAAGGATAGAGTGAATGGTTGGGTAGATGGTTGGATCGATGGATTGAAGAAAGGACGGATGGAAGGATAGAGTGAATGGTTGGGTAGATGGGTTGATTGATGGATTGAAGAAAGGATGGATGGAAGGTAGGAATGGATGGATGCAATAAATACCGAAAAAAACATCTCCAAATAAATGTAGTACAATCACATCCTTTCCAATTTAGATTTTGCATGAAATGCTGACAATGTTTGTATGTCTGTGTTTTACCGCCACACTCAGCAATATTCCAGCTATATGACGGTGGTCTGTAAACAATTGACCAGACATTCCAGTGATTGACATCATGAGCATATATCTACACAGTTGTGATAGGATGACATGCATCAACGAAGTTGGAGAGCTTGACCACCCGATCCCGTTAGTCGCCTCTTATGGCAAGCATGGGTTGCTGAAGACCTATTCTACCCTGGATCTTCACAGGTTGCTGACAATGACACCAGGAGGTTTGTAAAGTGGTTATTAAATCTTAAACTTCAAATTGATGACATACCATTTTTTCAATTCTGGATCATACGAGTACAACATGTCTGTGAGGTTGTAGCTGGACTGGCTCCCTGACTTGTAGCCCCCAAACACATAGATCTTCTTGGTTTCGGGGTCATACACACTGGTGTGGCCATATCCACCTCGAACAGAAGCACCGATTGTGTCCACCAGGCTCCAGGAGTCGTTGGCTGGATGGGAAAGAGTCGTCAAAGGGTAAATACCACTGGCTCTAGACTCCCTGTTATAATACAGGCATTTCCAGAATGTCAGCAGTTCATCTTAAATGCTAACACACTATGAAAATGCAGCCTGGAATTTAGGAAATATTTTTCAGCAAACTGACAGAAAACAAAGTAATTGGTTCGTGGTAGTGAGGCCAGAAGGCATGCAGTATTACAATGATGTCCGAGTTTGAATCCTCATCATATGCAATCAGTTTTTGCAAACTTGACCTCATATTTCAGTCTATCATATGCTTGACTATTGGGCCACACATATTTTATTTTTCGTTCCACAGGCCCACCGCCCCAATGGAAATGCAGGGGGAAATAAATAAATTAAACATAAAATATTCATTTATATTAATATAGTTTTTAATTTGAGTAATATAGACCCTCAATAAAAAATTCATATAAATTCCATGTCTACATCATGATCAGAGGTTCAAGAAGTGAGCTGCAGTTTTTAATAAACTGCAGAAGGATTTTCATACGAATAAATAAATGATTGACATAGCTATTCATTTTTATTTCAAGCGACCATGTGTGGAAAAGCTGGAATAAATCTGTGAAACATAAAATTTAAAAAGTGTGGCCTTAGTCACTCATTTCCCTTGCTCTCATATTATATTCATCCGCTCCTACAACTGTCAAGTAGAACAATACAACAAACGCACCAATATCATATATCTGTACTTTGTTGAGGTAGCCATACAGAGGGCTGTATCCGAAGATGACGTGTATCTTCCCATCATGCAAATGGGCAGTGTGGCCAGACACGCGGTACTCGGAGGCTGTCAGGTTGCTCCAGGTCTTGGCGGTGATGTCGTACATCCAGTTCTCGCTGACGGGGATGCCGTCCACCACACCTCCATACACAAACAGCTTCTGTAACAACAACTGTGTCATCAGTATATGCAATCCGACAGTGACATACTTCTTTGTAACCAGTAAAATCCCTAGATATTTTATATTTTTGTATACTTATCCTGCATTACTCCTAAATGCATATTACTGCTTCTTGTTGACAGAAGAAAAACTGTGTGAAGTCTTGCTGAAGAAGAAGTTGTTTCAATTAGCTGTGAGGACAACCCTATCACACAGCTCCCAGGTGACCACAGATGTGATGAGGTCATGGTCTTGACATTAGTGCTGCCACTCACAGTGGCTACATCTGTGTCATTTCTGTGTAAAAAATTTGATTCCAACTTGCTGTGTTGATTCTCAATGAATAGTTCTTGTGATTCTTTTGTGCCTCCAGTTTGAATCTTCATATGAAGTTAAAAAATCCATCCATTAATGTCACTTCTTTGAAAGGCATTTAGAAGTTGAAGCACTAAGTAAGGATAAGATGTATGGATGAACAACTTCTTTATCACAGTTCGGAGCTAAGTTTCGGTGAAAGTTCTAACACCGTTGATAGCGTGGTTGAGGTGTTAAAACCTACCCCGAAACATCACTCCTACTAAAGAAGTTACTTTTTTGAAAGGCATTAAGAAGTTTGAGCACTTAGTAAGGATAAGATATATGAATGAACAACTTCTTTATTACAATAAGGAGCGACGTTTCCGTGTAGGTTCTAACACTGTTGATTGACAGTATGGTTGACAAGTATATATACAGGATATGAGACAGTTTTATACAATATACATAACAACCTTCTCCACTCAAACAGTGTAACTACATCTTAAACCTACTCAACTGTATAAACACTGCCTCAAATCCTGTATATATACTAGTCAACCATACTCTGTACATCACTTGCTTGATAACAGTGTTAGAACCTACACCAAAACGTCGCCCCTAATTGTAATAAAGAAGTTGTTCATCCATATAGCTTATCTTTACTTAATAAAGAAGTTGTTTATCTATATATCTTATCCCTACTAATCCATCACTGATTTAGAACTTAATCAAGAATGGGGGACAAGGAAGTCCCTGTCGTCTAAGCTGCTGCAAAATGATCATAACTGTTGATAAATGTTTCAGATTTTTCTTTTGGTTCCTGATTAAGATAAAACACTCTTCCTCAAGCATGGTTGAGAATGTAAACACTTGGAGTCGAGAGAATGCCTTTTGCCTTTGTCCCACTTGAATCTCTCTCCCCATCATGTTTACATTCTCAACAAAGGAATCGGGTTTTATCCTATACATACCGTATTTGACGTAATAAGCGCCCAGGGCACTCTCAAAATTAGAAATAGGGGGCTTATATTAGAATATAATTTTGGTGAAAGAGTCGAAAGATCGTAAATATTATGGTTTCTGCTGACAGCCTAAAATGATACAAAAGAAAAGTCTGTGCGTCTTATACATGACAGATATATTTTTCCAGAATTTAATTGCCTGTAATTAAGGGTGCATATCACACACGAGTGCGTATTATACATGAATAAATGTACATGAATTGTGTACATTGATCAGTCGGAAGGGTGCTAATTGAGATTGTTCACTTGCCAATACATTGGCAAATATTGCTGTAGGCGCTTATTAGAGTGGGGCACTTATTATGTCGAATACGGTAACTCACTTTCATGTACGCTGGCATTACCTGGTCCTGATGCAGAACAGTAGAGTGTCCGTATCGTGGGGGAGGAGCATCGCCTACCACCGCAGCAGGGCTCCAGGTGTTACTGTTGAAGTCATACCTGCAAACACAACATGGCTGAATGCTCAGGGCAATCTGAAGGAGATACACAGATGCCTACCTGACATTGAAGCTTTGGGGTAGTCAGTGAGATAAAAAAGTGTAATTTCATGTGAAAAAGAGTTATCATGACATGGGTTTTCACTCCGACATTTTCGTTAGGCCTAGATGTAAATGAACATTTAGTCTCATCTTCCTGAGGCAAGGGAGTTAACTGACTGTAAAAGTCCATTGTTTAACCTTGCCGAACTAGGCTGGAATTTCCCAGCTCATCTGCAGCGCCACCAGTGGCTATTACGAGTTATGTTCCTTCTCTGTCCCTCCTATTGACCAATCAGATTCCATCTTTCATATTGCTTGCATTTGATTCAAACCAAATGGCAGCACCCAGTCAAGACAATATGATTGATAATCAGGATCCATATTGTATTATAATGGGTCTTACCCCACGAAGTGCATCAAATCAGTGAGCACCTTGATTAAAAACATGAAAAGATTTGCAAAATTTCTGTCAACGCCCAGTTGACGGTACACATGATTTGCAAATCCTGCAGTCAATCGAAATGTGAATGTTGTTTACGAACCGGATGTCGATTTTGTTACTTGATTTTGATTGGACATTGCACAAACCTTAACTCCATTCAAGCCTAGTTTGGCAAGGGTGGAAACTGGTCTATTAATGTCAGGTAACTCCTTTGCCTTTGGGAAGATAATGTGATCTAGTTTCACGCCATCGTAAAGTGTATCATGTGACACTAATTAACTGTTTTTCAGAAAGGCAATGTGGTGTTTTGAGTTCTGAAGCTATAACAGTGTACATGCAATTTGTTCCCTCTTTGCACCCAAAAAAATCGATCAACAAATGAGTGTGTTTTAACATGCAACCAATCAGAGACCTCATATCAGGGAATGAATACTTCAACACGATGTGAATTGATAGCAAGGCTCTCACTGGTCAGCATAGTGGGCAGAATGCTTCATGTCACTGGTGCAACAACAATTTGCTCATGCATGTAAATATTTAATTTACAAATAGAAATTTGCGACTGAAGCTCTGTAATTAAGCCAACCCAACCATTATGAGTGGACGTAATTCCCATACTTACGATTTTGAGCCTAAAATTACAACATCATGCTTGGCCTCCCCCAAATTACAAATTTTGTCCAATCTCATTAAAATCAGATCTAAGTTCTCGCTGCCGCTAAACAAAGATCTGAGGACATCTCATTACGGGTCATGTCAGAACGACAAGAAGTCTACATCAGCCAATTAGAAAGCAGCTTTCTCGAGCTTTACAGCACTGGTTTCAACCTGGTGACTTCCATTTCAGACTACACTTGAACAATATGTTGACACAGTTCTTGCTCAAAATTTTGAAAAGTGAACAAAACGGACATTCTGGAATGTCTAATATATGGCTGGGATTGTATGGCAGTACGTTGTACTTCCCACATACTGTGCAACGCCTCCTCCGTTCAAATGTTTATCCCATGGAAGCGAGAGATAGAGGATAATTTCACGAAATCAATCTGTAACTGTTGTTCGGAATACCCTGTGTCAACGTTTTCGAGGTTGCATGAGTAGAAAACACATTCTGACTGTCACTTTCATGAGCTGGTAAGTGACGCTTTGATTGGTCGGATGAAAGGTCGTTCTGACGTGACCCGAAATGGGATGTCTTCAGATCTTTGTTTAGCGATAGCGAGTAATAAGATCTGATTTTAATGAGATTAAAATTTTGTCATTATTTTTGGGGGGTGATGGAGGAGAGAAAATGCATGGATTACTTTTTTTTTTCTTATATCATTATCATCACATCCATAGTATATGTCTAAACGAGTGTTTAAGCCTTCATCACCAACTAATGACGCTTTTATCATCCCTGATTAGTCAGGAAACTGGAAAACTAGCACCCCAGGAGGAACAGCACATACTTCTTGAGACTCTCGTAGCTGTAGTCGTTGAGGCTGTAGCCGCCCACGACCCACATGGTCTTGTCGTCAACGAGGGCGGAGTGGGAAGCTGACCCTGCCGGTGGAGTGATCGTCTGTAGAGTGGACCACACCCCATCCTGGTTGGTCAGGCTGCAGTCCTCACCTGTAGGGGGAGCCACACATATTAGTACTGTTTATTAGTACTGTCCATTAGTACTGTACACTAGTAGTGTTCATACAACACTAACATTAGTGCTGGAATACACAGACGCTATCGACACTCCCCCTAGTCTGAAGTACTCACCTCGGTAACCGGGATCGCACACACAGATGTCGTTGATACAGGTTCCGTTATTGGAGCAGCTGTTGGGACACATTGCCGTCTCACACGCACTTCCTGTCCAGTTGGCATTGCAGGAACAGATCTCGTTATTACACTGCCCATTCCCCGAGCATCCCTTGGGACAGTCTCCAATGCTGGGGAAGAGAATACAACCAGTTACGCATCTTGAGTGAGTGAGTGAGTGAGTGAGTGAGTGAGTGAGTGGGTGGGTGGGTGGGTGGGTGGGTGGGTGAGTGAGTGAGTCAAGATGTGGTAACAAGTGATTACTGAAATGAAAACATGTTTTCATATCATCATGATCATAGTACTCAAGCAGATCTGAAAATATTTCAAAAGAATTTCATTTTTTTACATCAGACTTCAGTCAGATTCAAAACTACAACTCCAAATAGCAGCATTTTGAAATGGAAAGACAGTTTGAAGTGTGACTTTCTGAAAGAACATATCTTAATTACCCATTTGCAGTGTCAGCTTATGGACTAACATTTAGTCCCAGAAAAAAAGTAATCTTATTAAAAAGTCCAAATCTACAAAACGAATAAAAAATCCAAATGGAGCCCAGAACAATTTTTAATTTCATTGCCCTGCAGACTTGGACAGACCCTAGAGCTGAGGCAAACTAGACTTGCTAAATCATTCTAGACTTGAGTTGAATTCATTTATTGTTTAATTTATTCTCTAGGGTGTGGGAGACTATATCAGCTATTATGGTTAAGATTGTAAATCTTGGAGCTAAACCTATCAGATCATGCACAACCTTTCTGTATATAATGCCTAGGCTTGTCTTTTGATGGGATGCAAAAAAATGCTCTTCAGGTACATTTTTCCATTTTTTTATATTGTTAGGGTTGATGTGATCTAAAACCAATCGGGGAAACTGGCTGTCAGGATGTGAGTTGCCAATAGTCACATGGCCATAACCCACGTGAAGTGCTCCTCCAGCAGGCTGCCACTGATATACGAGACAGGTATACAACTTCACTGAGTGGGATATCCAAGAGAAAGCTTCCTCCTTGCTTCCCTCCCTCCAAGTTTTATTGTTTTATTGTTTTCAAGCAGGCTAACACCATGTGTTTCCTTATGGACGTCACATAATACAGCTGGATTATGCTAGACATCAAATTTGTGAGTGAGTGGGTGGGTGGGTTTGTGGTTGGGTGAGTGAGTGAGTGAGTGCGTGGGTGGTGAGTGAGTGAGTGAGTGAGTGAGTGAGTGAGTGAGTGAGTGAGTGAGTGAGTGAGTGAGTGAGTGAGTGAGTTGGGTTGGGTGAGTGAGTGAGTGGGTGAGTGTTGAGGAGGATGGGAAAGTGGGTGAATGTTTTATTTAGTGAGTGAGTGAGTGAGTGAGTGAGTTGGGTTTAATGCTTCTTTGAATAGTATTTCCGACATTTCATTGGCTGGCAGCTCAAAGCAGGAAGAAAGACTGAAGTGACACAGGTTGTATAGGATTACCATTTGGCAAGAACCTACTGCAGGGGTATGGTGGATACAGTAGGACTCCATATTATCACAGTATCGGTAAATATCGTAATTCCTGCCCCATCTACTGTTTACTTATGCAAATCTAAGCACGATATTTCATCACTGGATCGAATACAGAACTTATTAATGATAGTTTCTGGAATGTTCTTGAAGTGGAATTACCCCTACCTCCATTCGAAATTGATCATAAAAGAACCCATTTTTTACACAATGTCCCTTGACCCAACATAAGTCGTATGCATACTGATAATGCATAATCCCAAACAGGAAGTGATGTAAAGCACATATTCCACACGTATCACACCACAAAATAGTGATACGGCAAAAATATAGAGTTGCCCACCCTTGAGTCGCTAATGACCGGTACTTTGTTTACAGAACTCCGTTAAGAAAATCAATCAATCCTAATTGATGTGTCAGAAACGTTTTGACATTTTGCTTATGACATTTAATAGGTTAGTAAGCGTGCGCTATAACAATCCATTATCAATTAACTACCGCGATAATATAGTGTACCATGCTACTGATTCTTACACTGTATACATCGTGTGGTGCAGAATATAAAACTGCCGGATGAAATGATTCGTGCCAAATGGGAAGCAGTTCAACCATGAAATCCTGACATCAACAGAAATAGTAATAATCCATGGCACTGCCTGAAGAACATACTGCATTAGTGTTCCATCAAACTGACCAACCAGGTTCACCTACCTGTATGATATGTTAAATCCGGCCATGGTGTAGGCAGCGTCACTGTAGAAGTGGATGTAGATGTATGGCTGGCGTATACGAGTGATGAAGTCCACCTCTGTGTAGGCCTTGTCTTTAGTGAGCAGCAGACCACTGGAATATAATAGTTGTGGTCAAAATAGGACATTTCTTATGAAACAGTTGTAGCATAGCAGTGAAGAGAATGCTGTATTGTCCATTATAACATACCTATAGCTTAACAGGGGAGAGAATGTTGTATTGACAGTTACAACCTACCTGTAGGATAACAAGGGAGATAATGCTGTATTGACAGTTATAACCTACCTGTAGGATAACAAGGGAGATAATGCTGTATTGACAGTTATAACCTACCTGTAGGATAACAAGGGAGATAATGCTGTATTGACAGTTATAACCTACCTGTAGGATAACAAGGGAGATAAAGCTGTATTGACAGTTATAACCTGCATGTAGGATAACCAGGGAGATAATGCTGTATTGACAGTTATAACCTGCATGTAGGATAACCAGGGAGATAATGCTGTATTGACAGTTATAACCTACCTGTAGGCCGCCAGGAGGGGAGAGAATGCCGAGTCCCCATCGTGTATATAGAGGTGGTCCCAGCCACACTCCGTGGCGAACTGATGGAACTTGAGTCGGATGGTGGTGTTGTTACTGTTGGTGTTTATCAACCAGCTGCACTTGGTGTCCAGCGTGTAGTTCCCCTCACCATCATATATAGATCCTTCTGTGCCATTAAAACTGAAACACAAACTTCTCCTTTAAAGGTTCTGCTGGGCAAAGGATAGAACAAGTAGCAGTAACAACAGGTTCACCTGTCCTCATCTCAACTGTTGCCGATATTTGTTTTTAGCAGCTGTTTTCTTCAGTAGCGTACAGTCAGTACGCTAACACCGCTTTGAAATTTTATCATTGCATGTTGTGGGAGGAAATCCCAAAGTGATCCAAGTCTCAAGACGTTAAGCACTTTGGTGAAACTCAGGGCACTGGCATGGTGCCGACAAATCAGTCAGTGTGGGAATTTTCAAAAAAACAAAGTGATAAACCCATTAAAAATACAGAGTAAATTAAGTGAATATACTCTACTCCTCTTTTGACAGGGATACGTGTATCTTTCCATGATACACAAAACTCATTCTGACATTCAACTGTATATTTACATATATCGGACTTAACCATGTTAACTGATCATCTCTATCAAATGTTGAGTTGCATACGATAAAATGAAACAGGTGAAACTGCTTGTCCTTAGTTCTGTAGTCTTAAGGGGGGACTCAAATTTTAATACTGGCTGTCCCAGCAAGTTTGATTGAAATCATCACAACACAGCCTTTTTTGTTGACTAACTAATTCTGTTCATGTCAGTGAATGTTGGATATCAGATCATCTCATTTTCCCAGACAGAGGTCCAGATAACTTTTTGAGCAATTGAGTTTTTACTCAAGCATTGTCTAGGATTTCGATCTAAATCGATGTTAATAGGGTTATTACATTTTTCATTGGGTAACCAGTATTTTTTCACTCATCTATTCATTACTGAGTCAACATTTTATGATTTAAAAAAAAAATGAAATAATGCTTTAGAGGTATATAACTGTTCTAAATATATAGGCTTGACTCGGAAAGTAAATTAGATCATAATTGGGTTATGGAAATTAGCTCCTTTGTACACATGCTGAGAAAGCTTCACTGGGTATTTACTATACATGTGAGTTTTTCTGTACTTAAGTTAATTGAAAGTAATTGGGTTTTGAATATTTGGGGGGGGGGGGGGGGTTTAACATTTTTAATACTTTTTTTCAAGATGAAATGACTTTTTTCCACTTACTTGTCGTCATGACCGCAAGAGAAACCATAGCAACCAAAATGTCAAGAAATATTCTGTGAGGAAAACCATTATTCTTATAAGTATTAAACATTCCCATAATTTCTAATTTCGCATGTTTGACAAAAAACATTACTTCAGTGAACACTGATCACTGATATAACATGATTTTGTTTGTTGTTTAACGCAGCACTCAGCAATATTTCGACTATATAATGGCGGTCTGTAAATAATCGAGTCTGGACCAGACAATCCAGTGATTGACAACATGAGCATCGATCCACACAATTGGGATCGATGACATGCATCAACCAAGTCAGTGAGCCTGACCACCTGATCCCATTAGTCGCCTCTTACGACAAGCATAGTCGCAAGACTGGGTTGCTGAAGACCTATTCTACCCCGGAATCTTCACGGGTCGGATGACAAGCATTGTTGATTGATACAAGAGCAGACCAAAAGGTGACGAGTTCAATTACATGTGTCTTGCTACTTTTTGCTCAGAGTACAGGAGTGAGGATGGGTTGCTGAAGAATGCTGAATCAAAGAGTCGGATCACGCACAACCTTCCACCTCTTCTCCACTCAGAAACAGTGGCACGAGGTCCTGTGTACAACACACAGGTCACAAATCAGGGGCAGTTAAGCAAAGCTGATCGCTGGGTGACCGTGTTCGGCAGATGAGGGCCAGTCAAGCTTCAGTCCCTGCCTCACACTGAAGCACATGTAGCACATGTGGCGTCTCTTTAGGCAAGAGACTGTTCGAAACATGCCTCTGTTCACCCAGCAGTGAATGGGTACCTGGTAGGATGTGACAGTATTATGACAACCTACTAGCGCCTCACTGGCACCAGTGGCAGCATGGATTGTATACTCCCCAGGGAGATGAGAAAGATAATCACGTGCACACTGACTATTGACCGATGTAATAATAGAGTAGCGCCATGAGCATTCACTTGGTGAATGTAATGGACTTATTATTATAATCTCCATAACTGGGGTAGTTAAAGTGAGTGAGTATTATTTTACGCCACCTTTATTAATTTTCCAGCAATATTAAGGCGAGGGACACCAGAAATGGGCTTCACATATTGTCCAATGGAGGGAATTGAACTGGGTCTTCGGCATGAGGCGTGAATGCTCTTAAATGCCTGTTGCAACATATGCAACAGGGAGACATAATAAGGTCATCACTAGATACATGTACAGTGTATTCACCATGTTCACATAATCCTCACCACCAAATCCCCTTAGTGGCCTCCTATCTTGGTTGATGCATGTCATCTTATCCGAATTGCGCAGATTGATGCTCATGATGTCAATCACTGGATTGTCTGGTCCTGACTCAATTATTTTACAGATACATGTAGCTGGAATATTGCTGAATGCGGCGTTAAACAACAAACAAACAAACTAACAAAACAAAATACAATCAATGTTCTACAAATCTGTTTGTCAATGTTCTTTCAAGTGTGATATTTGTTTTATTTGAATCAGAAATATTGTTAAATCTAAATAATATGACAAATGGAGAATTTGCCTTCAGAAAATACTGTAAAATTGTAGCTCTACAATTGATTAAATAAAATTGCCATAAATTCTATACCAACATGATTTAATATAATTATTTAACATTAAATGTGTCCAATAAATCATGTTAATAGTTTCTAAACTTTTCTTGTCCTATTTCGTGATATTACAAGCAACAACATTTACCACATCATTGTTGACAGCTAAAAATACCTTGTTTGATTGTCACCTTATATAAAATACCGGCTACAGACCTCATTATAACACAAATTCAAGGGAAACAAATACAGGCTGTGACAAGGCAAATATTTAGAAATATGTGTCATTGAATTTAGAACACGATTTATATGGACACAAATAACAACTACATCCTCTCTGTAAAGCTGTTTTCATGAGATACCACTTGTGTTGTTATAGTGAGGATATAAACTTGTATGTGAATCACAAGCTTACAGCACCTTGAAGCCTCCATTGTATTACAACCACACCCATTCCCTGCAGTTCAGACACTCGGTAGCTTCCTACTCAATATGTTAAAGTCACACGAACTTACAGATAGAGAGATACATAACTCCATGACATTAACAAACAATCTGAAACACAAAGCTTCAACAGCCTCAGAAATTTGTCTTTTTTTAGATTTGCTTGTTTGTTGTTTAACGCCGCACTCAGCAATATTCCAGCTATATGATGGCGGTCTGTAAATAATCGAGTCTGGACCAGACCATCCAGTGATTGACTTCATAAGCATCGATCCACACAATTTGGATATCATGACATGCATCAACCAAGTAAGCAAGTAGGACCACCTGATCCCGTTAGTCACTTCTTACGACAAGCATAGTCGCCTTTTACGGCAAGCATGGGTTGCTGAAGACCTATATTCCGACCTATTCCACGGGTGCTTTTTAAGACTAGTCTGGAGGACTTTGTAGCTAGTTCTTAAAAAAGACAAAAATGATTACATACTGTAAATCTGGACAGTTGTGCGCCATGAACTTACTGCAAGTGGCTAACACTACCCTTAACTACATCTGGAAAGTTTTGCGTCACCCTGTTAAAATGACCAAAGATCAAAGATACATTTGCACTTGTTATTTTTTTATAAGCAGGAAGCGGCATAATGAAATGATAACTCTGTGTCAGTCAGTGTTTTTTAAAACTAGATGCATGTGTTATTGTAGCTGACAAGGGAGGTTGGAGTAATGGGTATTCTGGTGTATGTCTGGATTACTCAGTCAGTGTTATATCAACTTGATGAGTGAGTGAGTTGGGTTTAACACCGCTTTTAACAGTATTCCAGTTATATCGCGGCGTGTCAGCTTAATGTGGGAGGAAAGCCCGAAGTGATGCAGGTCTCAGACGTTTACCACTTCGGTGAAACCCACGAGCACAGGTATGGTGCTGACAAACCTAGAAACGTAATTGGGTCAAACCGGGTTTCGAACCCAAAATCATAGGTTTCTGGCGTGCCAAAGGGACGCAATACTGCACAGTGAATCGCGGCGCCTTAGACGACTGGGCCACCCGTGCCCCCCAACTTGATGAAACATGGCACTTACGACTAGTGACCTTGGACTAATTAGACTGTTGACACCGAGTGACAATGTGTAATCAGAGAATCACAAGCTAAGAGGGATTACCTGTTACATCATGTACTGGCTGGTTTGACAAAGTGTGAAAGCAATTAGAGAAATATGCCTCCTTACGACTTTTGTTTGTTGTCTACAAAAATATCTGAATCATGAAAATATTGCGAGTGTGTGCCAATCACAGTTTTTAAAGTCCTTTCCTGTTGCAAATCTTCCAGACTTACAGTATTCTGTCAGTTACATTCAGTTCAAATTTGTAGCAAAACTGAACATTGAGAACTGGTTGAGTATTTAGAGTTGCACTTTGCGGTAACCAATAAATTTTAGGTTCTTAAATGAGTTGCTTTCTAATCAATGTTACTACATTTCAATCACTGTAAGTAGCAATTAATGACACAATGAACAGTGTTCCAAGTTACATCACGGTGTGTCAGCTTGGTGTGGGAGGAAAGCCCTCAAACCAAGTTTCTAAAACTGAAATGAATCTTGGATTTAGTTAAGCTTATATTTGTCAAGGTGATTAATTACATGATTTTGTATCACCACTCTAAATATGTTCGTCGCTCACAAAACAATTTCATCACTCAATCCTGGATGTAGAGATTGATTTGATACAGAAACAAAAAAGAGCATATAAAATAAATTTAATAAAATTTAATTGTGTCTATCGATATCTTTTCACCATGTTCATCACACACTATCAATATTTCACCTCTCAAATAATGATCATAATTGCCATCACTGACAATCAATACAGTGCCATAACGCCCATATAGCTTCCCAACATGACAGTCA